AGTGACAGAAGCCAAGGAAAAATGGAAAAAAAATTGAAATACAAAGTGTGCCGGTTACAGGAGGGACAATTACTTTTTGTGATTAAAAATGTTTTAATCAAAATGAAATGGAGCCTGGCCATTATTCGCCTCAAAAATGAGGGAAAAATCATTAATAAAAAAAGAAAATCATTCCTGTGTTAAATTTGACCTATCCCTTTCAATTTGCAGGCGTAAACTGCGTAGTAGCTTCAGTGTGCAGTTTCCCAGTCTAGACACTGACCAAGTGGCTGAGTTAACTCCGAACAAAGATGACATGACTGTCATGAAGATCACCACACACAGTGATTGCACTATGCATGTCTACTGTCTAACTGGTACTCCGATTTTCTTCCAAATTGAGAAGCAATTGTACCCTACTGGTAAGTGTCCCGTCTTCTCTACATAGGCCCCACCCCTTATTTACACCAGCTCAGGACTACATGCTGTTATTGTATGAATACATGTAAAATATATTTGTAATTTACATGTGCGGTCACAAAGTCCTCTGTGATTCCAGTTCAAATTAACAGAAAATGGAAGGGCTCTTAATACACGTAATATCTTGATATTAGCTTACATTACAACCATATGTAAGCTGGTTTCCAAGTTTCTGAGTCTAATCTACATTTACGTGAGACTTTCTCAAATTTAGGATACTAATGATGTATTGTGAGTTTGAATTTACAACAAACGGTTTAAGTTCATTACCCTTAAGAAATATTACATATCAATCAGCCCATTTTTTCTCTTAACTTTAGTATATATGCTTTGGAAGCACCCTAATCTACTACCATGCCTTATTACATGGCCGCCAGTCTTGGACAAGTTATCAGGAGGAGCAGGTAAAAATCATAGTGTTTGTTTTCTGTTTGTTGGTCTGCCTGTCTTCACTTTCACATTGTTAAGGTCAAGCATTACCCTTTTTTCTAAAAACTACATGTAAATACATATAGTCTTAGCAATCAAATATTTGACAAATTTGGCATTTTACCCATTTCTGGTTGTCTCGTTATCTAACTGTGGGGCACTTGCTTGCTATTTGTTGCACACTGCCTGTGTTGTATTCATGCGTACTTTGTAGTTTAAGCAAAGCTATGGGTGCTGCCCTAAGTTAAGAGTTCATAGAAAACCATCTCATCTGCACCCCACCCCAGTCAAAATACTTGCAATCCAGCCCATTTTGAAATTGAAGGATTAATGTGGTCAAACTCATTTACTTTGATGGTATAACAAGGCACATTTTGACTGCTTTATAGATCTCATGTTACCAGGAGTTGTTATTCCACCATCTGGTCTACCACAGCTCAACAAAGATCAGCTTTGTGCAATCTGTCTCTTAGGCAACCATGCACCTGTTGCTGTAGGCCATGCAATAATGTCAAGTGATGATATGAAATCCAGTGGCATGAAAGGTCGAGGAATCCAAGTCATGCACTGTTACAAGGACTCGCTGTGGTAAGCTCTTGAAATGACAATCATAAAGTAGCCATTTCTTTGGGACGTAAAAGCATGTAGAATTGTCATTCTATATAGGAAATGTGTGTTGACAACTTTTGATCAAATATACACATGTGGATTGGCAACGAAGTGCACCCCGAGGGACTGTGAGTGACCAGAAGAGGGTCCTATAGGGTCTATCAAACCCTCCTGGCCACACATGGGGGTGACAGGATTATGCCTACCCAGATGTGTTTTATAACACACTTTTGGTCCAAAATGCAAAATAAGAAAATCTTTTTAGGGTTTTCTAACTTAACCGCTATAATAAACAAACATTGAAAGTCATAAGCAGTTCAACAATTAAACAAATGCTTGTAGGTTCCCTAGATTTATTTTTTCCCTCGATTTAGTTGCTGTTCACTTGTGATTCATACATACCTCGTGATTCAGGGCAAGCTTTTTATATAGCGACCACTCTCTCTGGTATGGACTGGCTCCTTTGTGCCCTTCTTATCCAATAAAAACACTGTATTGGTGTGAGGCATCTCTTATGTAACTAAGCAAAGCTTGCCCTGAATGATGAGGTATGGCAACAGTGCCTTTAGTATCCCAGAATTTAAATTGTTATGTGTACATGAATTTAAAGAACTCAGTGTTACCAGATGTTATTCAAATTTAACTCATGAAAGGTTTATTTAGGCATGTATGATATCTTGGTGCTAACCTGAGTCATGCTGATGCAAATTTCATACATTAATATATTTGTTACCCTTTGTGACCCTATTTTAGCTAACCAGTATAAAGAACCAACAAGAGGTGGGTTACAGAAGTAACTAGATCACAAGTGTTCTGTACAGGAAATATAGATTACTTTGGAAGCTTGAATTGGAGACAGTTTTATGCAAGAAACTTCTATTTATTTCTCAGGGCACAAGGAGACAAAAGCCTCTTGCCTGAAATCCCTCTTCCAGAACCAGGTGGAAATCTTTGTGAAGAAAACTCTGAAGAAGTCACATTATCCACAGAACAGAATATCACTCTCACTGATGTAGGTGGCCTGTCACCAACTGTACATCAAGATGAAACAGAACCTCACATTGATGAGATTTGTCTTGAAGATTATCCGTGCGATGGAGGTGGTGAGAGAGCAGATGAAGTTACTAAAAATGAATCTCTTTCTCCAACAGGTGAGGCATATGATTGTATTTTATAGATAAAGCAGACACCAACTACCGGTAACAACTTCACTTCAAGAACATATTCAGTAATCAACTTCACTTGAAATTAATTTTCTCAGATGAGATGGATGCCCTGTTGTACCAATGCACCTTGCACAGTCTAAAGTCCATGGTCAAGCCATCAGACCTACCACTGCTAACAAGTAATTTCTACAGATCCTATGTTGTATCTTGTTGGTGAGTTACACGCTTAGCTGCCAACTGTATCCAGAAGTTTTAAATGAAACAGCTTCAAATGCTGTGTTTGTCAGTAACTTAAAGTAGTCATTGGGGAAGTTCCTTTTTGAACCATTATAACTCAAAGCTTTATACATATATAAAGAACTATGCAAAAAATCTGGCTTACATAGACAACTGCCTAGTATTATTCAACTGTGCAGGGTTTGGTTGCAACAATATGTATATTATCTTTGCGTAGTTAAAGTTAGATTTTCCTCAGGTTTCTCAAAGCACTACCTGTTTGATTTCTGTAGCCCAGAGGGCCAAACCTTAGACATAAAGAAAACTAGTTACAAGAAGCTGTCTAAGTTCCTTCAAAAGTTGCACTCGGAGGGATTTCTGGAGGTCAGGGAAGAAAAGAAGGGAGTGGACTTCATCACAGCTGTTCATAAAGATCATCCAGAGTAAGTTAATGTCTATAGATTCTGAGTCTTTGTTTCTCCTGCATCCACTCTTACTGGCAAAGAAGAGACAGGCTGATGAGGATGGAGGAATTAAGCACATTGTACATTTCCACACAAAACGTCATTTCTGTGTAAATCATGATATCTCTTGTTCCGCATGGAGTGGATTGCCAATTTTTCTACTGCCAGTGGTTCTTTGCATTCATCTATTGGCATGTATCTGTCTGATGTATTTCTTTCCTTTCTCCATTGCCAGTCTTCGTTCCTTTATTGTACCAGCATCAACTGATGGATTTTCTGCATCTGGAGTTAGTAATGAAGCATCAGCCACTCATAGTCAGCTTGAAGTGAGACTAATGAATGGAGTGTCTGCCGATATGTTGCCTATTTTGAAAGTTTCTGGTTATGGGTAAGAGCTTCATCTTTCTCCCCATTATATTCTCATCTTAATGTTTCTTCTAACTTGTGATGAAAAACAGTAAAAAGCCCCATTGATGCACTTTCATTGCAGAAATAATATAGTCTCATTACAGTTTGAGACCATGTGAACATGATGACTTATTGTTCAAAGTCAGGGAATTTTCACTTGATGAAATCTCCCATTTCTTCCTAAAATTTATATAATGTCTTCAAGAAAATTTGTTTGCAGCATGCCTTTGTTCTTTATTTCAAAAGGAATATATCAATCCTTAATTCATTTTAGCAAAGGTGACTGGTTGACTCATGAAGCTTTGAGAGAAGCCGTGACAAAGTACATCAAAGGCAATGACCTGACTGATGAGGAAAATCCAAGGTGAAGTCATCCTTAAAAGCTTTCTTGTTCAAAGTTCAATCAGCACTGGTACTGATTACTATAATCACCTACTATCAGGTACACTGCTAAGCTTCCTGTCAAAGACACATTAAGCAACATGATTTCTGTCGCTTCATGTGCCGTAGGTTTCAGTCCTCACAACTCTTCCCATTTCTACTTTTTTTTTTTTCAGAATGGTGAACCTAGATGGTCCATTACATGAAGCCCTCATTAACAGGTCAGAGGGTTATGTGGAGAAACTTCGTTGGGATCAGGTCTTCAGTAGGTCAGTATGACTCTTTGTTTTATTCATTAGTGCTTGTGATTGTACCCACTTGGTATCATAGATCTAAAATATTTGGTAAAGTTTTGCTGATGAGGCGACAGGCACTCCAAAATGGGCAAAGAGAGCAAAAGTAATCTTAGATAATAAGCAGAGTGGTTTCATCTGCTATATCTGGTGACTCATGTCATTTTAAAGCCTCGGCTGATGTCGCATCAGTGGTACCAGGTACATGTGGGTTTAGCTCCTCAAGTCAATTTCAGTGCTCCCTACGTACCAACATTTTAAGGACAATTCAATTTGTTTTCTTGCCAGGTTGTTTCCTTAGGTCTAGTTTATCTAAAAGAATTTTCTTGAAGGTTCTTTCTGTCAAAGATGGACTTAAGACTTTTGGTAATTTTTGATGGAATTCTTTTTGACAGGTGTAATGGAAGAATGACTGCAGGACATGAAATCATTCTTCCAGGTCAAAGGTCAGTGGGTCAGATCAGGAAAGGGAAACTTCAACCAATTCAAATCAAACTGGAGAAAAAGTCTGGCAACAAGAATGTAAGTTTAAGTCCACTTTTGACATACTGGCATTTCCAAATACATGAAAACATGGAACAGGCTTTTTTGACACGTAGATTTCATGAAGTTTTAAGATTGTTGAACAAGTATTTCTCGAGCATGTTTGTTCCTTTGTGTGTACAGGTGACAGTCATCCAGAACATAGAACCTTATGGCATAGAACCCAAAGATTTTGCTCACCGTTTACAGGTGGGTGTTGCAGCCAGTAGCACTATCAATCAAATGCCAGGTCAAGGGTCAGGGTCACAGGTCATCATACAGGGCAAGCAAGTACGATTTGTTGAGACACTGTTGACAGGTGAGTGAGGTGGGCAAAGTGACACATATCATACACTTCTTAAAAATTAAAGGATCATACTTGGTGATTAATCTTTAAAAAATCTTTTTTACAAAACAACATGTATGAGTGTCGTTTATTGTGGTTATGTTCAGGCATGACGCTGTTTAATGTACTGTAAGTAAAATCAATGAGGTACACACCTAGCTGAAACTTTCAAATACAAATGTCTGATTTTTTTTTTTTTTGAGTAATGCATTTCAGGTGATTCAGTTAGGAACAGCTTTTCATTAAGACTTGAGCAGGCATGTCCTGGGGGGTTTCAATCTTTGAGGGTTTTCATATTGATACGAGCTGTACCGGTAAAAGCCTTACAGCAGAACTGTGATGACATGAAGTCATACAGGTTAGTTAGGTAGAGGCTGTATTGTGATGGTGGTAGGGCGAAATTTGAAAGGCATACTTTTGCTTACAGAATATGTGTACAATGTGGTAAGCATTGACTGTGTAATGTATAGCTCAAGGCAAATATATGGGATGAACTAGGCCTTAAAGCTTTTGGATTCTTTCGGATTCATATTTCAGATCACTATAACATTCCAAGACGATATATCCAAGGATTGGAGTTGGCAGCCAAGTCTGGAAAGAAAAGATGACACAAGATTATCAACCTTTAACTCTTGGAATGATAAAGACTTCAGTTATGAGATAGCAACAAAGATTGAAACCTTCAGGGAGCGAAAATGCACATAGGCCTTGAATTTACAAAACTTCAATGTTTTAGACCTTCTCTTTGCATATTTTAAAGATCTGAGAGGAAAATACCAAATGTCTTATGGCTACTGGGAAAGGATAAAAAAGGGGCAATTACAAATTTCTCCCCAAATCTCCCTCAACCCACGTCCTTTTTGAAGAAAAGATTAAGGGAGCATGTCTCCCGTGGGAATTGAAGTATCAGTCCAATCACTAAACACCTTCTAAAACGTAACAATCCAGACATCCCTCCTACAGGTGGTCAATCTATTGGCTTGGTACTGGCCCACTGATGACCTTGACAAAATCAGTCATACACTCTTAGGTCTGTTGTAGAGGTCAAAAGCGTGCGACCACTAGTTGATCACCACAATGGGGTAATAAAAATACGTCCATTAAGGAAAGCTGTCATTTCAGAATGAATGTTTTCCTTTGGAGTTGGAGAGCTCTGACTCAAATTTGTTAATTAAAATAGGAAAAATATGTATTGTATTGTTATTTTACATCTGACACAGCAGCCATCTGTAGAGCTTAGGTATATCATGGGGGAATGTACGTTTCCAGGTGTGAATTCAAGCTATCACACTATGTCAGCATGGTTGTCCAGGCTTGCCAATGTCTTGGACAGAGTTACATTTGGTTTGGCCATCCTCTTCGCATTTTCCCTCCCCCTAATTTTTTCAGCCAGTGATTTCTTTTTAACTTATGATTGGTGATGATTGATACATTTTTTTGTCTTTGTTTTTGAGTAGTAGTAGTTGCTTTGGCTTACGTGATGCACATCTTCCAGAAGCACTTCTCATTTGCACCATGAATGCATGGATACTGTACACTAGATCAGTAGAGAACCTTGTGATAGTTCTGGATCCGAGGTCAGTTAGCAAGCTAATTGAATTGACCCTGTCACCCAAAGGCACTGTGCAGTGCACTTCAAGACTGGAGGCATAAGTTACAGCTTGGTTGGCAAGTTACCAATTGCCCGCTTGTAAACGCCATGGAGGACTGCCTAAACACTTATTATTTAATAAAAAAAATGGATGGGTTTCCAGCCCATTCGTTCAGTGAAAACATCAAAGTGACTACCATGCCCATTTGTGCAAATGTATTTGAAGGAGACCTGACTGCAATCACAATGCACAAGCCACCCCCCACTTGATTTTGAGTCGATTTATTTTTACTCTCAAAATTCCCTCCAACATTTCAAGGGAATGGTTTTGTGAACTGTATGTTTTACTTTTAAGTGGTCTTTACAAACACATGTATTATCTTTTGCAGTGAATGCATTTTATAGCCCAAAAGGGCACAGTCTAGGATAGACATCAGTAGCAGGGGAAACGTGCTACCGTTTGGCATATTTCATAACCTTCACAGAATTATAACAAATATTTCTATTGTTACATAATGTTTCAAGCAAATCCCATTTTTGAAGTTTCAAGTGTTCGCACCAGCTACCTGTGAAATTAACAATGGCTACTTCAGCAAAACAATTTATGCTCCTTTTGACATTATGAAATTGGCTTCTTGTTCATGAGAGATTGCTTCAAGATTATGAGTTCTGTCTTCAGTTTGCTGCCTAGAAATAGAAAAAGGATTTTTAACAAAACTATAAGACATTCGCAAATCCAGTGACCTACGGCCCTTGCACTTGAAAAAGAATGTATGCAGGACTCTAATTGAAACATCAGGCAGGATAACTCTTAAGTGCTATGAAATTAGAAATGAAAAACTCATGATCATGGACAGAAAGAAAAAGACAGGCCCGAGTAGGAAAAAGAAAAGGGATTTGTCTCTCTAGCATGTACAGAGATAAGCTACTAGATGACATGTCCCTTGACACACACCATTTATTTCAACATCATGATTATTAAAATATTCAAGAATAATATTTTTTGTTATACCACAGTCACAAATATGGTGTAGTGAAGTTTTATTGGTTTCAAACCGATCACGTGATACATGTATATTTATGCTATGTGCGCATGCATCATTTCCGCGTTGAGCACACTGGTGATGTTGCACAAAAATGATGGATAACTGTGATCTTTCCCACAGTTGATGTGTCGTGTCAATAATTGGTACATACCGGTTGAACCACTGCGGCTATCCACCCTCGTACCCAAGATTCCACAGTTACAAGGCAGTAGACATGACCCATCAACTGTGGAAAGATCAACGTTATCCATCATTTTTTGTGGCCCAGCAACATCGCTAGTGCAACGATGCGTGAATGATACATAAGCGCTTGTAGTATATTATGTCGCCAATAAAATTTCACTATCTATGAGCGTGGTACAACAATCTAAGAACCGTGGTGTAACAATGAAATCTGTGACTATGGTATAACAAAATAATTGTTGCTTGCAGTGACAAGGGTATACCTTTGGGGGCAAATGGCAGCCTCGGCTTCACCTGGATTGCCATTTGCCCCCTCGGGTGTACAAAACACCATGGACCCCTAGACTGCAAGCAGCAATTGTTAGATAAGGAAATAAATATGTGCTTGGCCAGTGTTAAACATGCGTTTAAGGCCAGCTCAGGAGAATGGATGCCACTAATGTTCGAGCCACAGGCAAGGGCGTTATCGGCATTCAGATCAGAGCTGGTCTTGTGTTTAAGACCGCCAAGCACATATTTATTCCAATTCATAAATACCATTTTAATCAGACAGTCAAAAAGAAGTCGATATCTGATGTATTTCAAGCAATTTTGTTCTAGAATTTTACTTTTATTTTCCCAACACCCCTGTCCATTTTATGGAATATTCCTTCTGCAAATTGTCCAATTGACATGCACGTGGTGAGCCACATGCATACAGACTTTTGACCAATCTGAATCGACTAAACTGTCTTGTACCCAGGTGCCCTCCCGTGACTTACACAGCAGGCATTGTCACTTCTCTGCGGACATTATCAAATGTTAAGTACACAGTCAATTTGCATGTTGTTGATTTGGAAGACTGTCTGAGGTATTTATGAGTATTACATAATACAGACATCAAATGCACTAAAACATGAAATTGGTATATGTACAACAGTCAAAACCTTGTGTACAGTTTATTACAATCAGGAGGGATCAACATATGCAATTTTAATTTCAATACAATACATATATTGATGTATTTCAATTTAAGTATCTGTGTCATATTATACACAATGAATTTCATTATCAAAATAAATGATGTGAAACTTATAATTTCGCTTTCAAGAGAAAGTCACTTTAACTGATGAAATATACGCAGCTTTAGTGCTCCCAGTCTTAGGATAGATATTGCCTGTAAGGCTTGGGGCATACCCAAGTTTTTCAAAATACAAGACATTAAGCACTTTTTGTGGGGACTGTAACATGCATAAATGCCTGTTTGCTTTCCAACTATTAGCAATCATGCCTACATATTCATGTACACGTAATTATCATGGGCGAGTTTATTTCTGTAAGAAGTCGTGGACATTAAATTGTAGAGGGCAACAGGTCCCCAATCGGAGAGAGTTCTTGATTGGAAAATCATCTTTAAGCCCTAAAGGAGCCTTTAGAAGAGTTTGTTTTTAAACAGAACCATAAGATATTCCGCATTTTAGGGCCAGAGGCAGATCCAGTGGGCACGTTCCCCCCCCCACACACGCCCACTCCCTGTACATGTACAGTGTTTGGTTTGCCCTTCTCCTAACAATTTAGTAAGCAGGTTATCGAACTTAGACTGGCTGAAAGGAAACCAACCGTTGACAATGACATTCCATCAGAAGGTAAAAACATCATCATCAAAGTACATGTATCCTGCTTGTCATTTTCTGAGAAATTAGTCAATAGGTTGACAGTCTGGTGGGCCAATGATTTCTTTTGCAGGGCTGCCAATATTTTATGAGCTAATCTGTCGTTTAGTGACTGCTGTCCTTCATTCTGATTGTCTTCTGGATTTTCACATTTCTGACGACTTTATACTTAAAAGAATGTACCGGTATATTCCATTTGAATTCCTCTTTCACCATGCCAAATACTTATTTTTCAGCTTCATGGCAGTGTTAGTTTTCATATATGAATTGGCAAGTCATGTTGATGTACATTTCTCAACTTAAACACTTTTTCAACAACCCAGTTAGTTATTTCAAATGGTCAACATATTTCAGAAAAAAACACCAGATGTCATCCCAGTGTAAACATGTTCAGTGCCAAGTGCTGATCCGTGCACGGTACCTGCAGAGAGTCTGCTCTTTTGACCTCACAGTCTGTGGTTGGTTTTTCCTACAAGTGGCTGCTAAAAGTACATGAATAGTTGGCAGTTGATATAAAAGTAAAAAGTGTAAAAAATCCAATGCAGGTATCTGAACACCAGAAAATAATATACGCACTACTAAATACTAAAGAATGTGACAAAATGTCCATATTGAACAAATTTGAGGTAAAACAAAAAACAAACCAAAAGGTGATATTTCTGTAACTTAGGCCACACATACAAGTTGTAGACAAGATGAGAGCAGTCTATAATCTCCATGTAATTACCTTTGACCTTTTTGGAGTAGTTGTTGGGATTGTGGTTGGAATGCTCTTGGAGGTTCCACATGCCAATGAACCTATGATCACCTCCCTCCTTTACCCAGCTCTGAAGCCCTGAGTGGTAGGTGCGATATTGCGTTAAATTAGTAAAATGGATGAAACATACGTAGCAGTAACTCAATAATACAAAGATGAATCAACAAAATGTAAAGTGTAATACATGTACACGAAAGAGGGAGAAACATACTGAGAGTTACAAACAAAAAATTTATACAGCTGTATTTCTAATGAAATCAATTTAATATCCGATTCCTAGTGGCAAGATTGGAGAATAATATGGATCCTCAGAGGTTTTGAAGGCCTGGCCGTAGCATAGGGTCTATATATGGTAGATATGTATCTGTGTTTGCGTGATAAAATACCCATTTTATTTGATAAAATACCCCTTAAAATACCCATTTCTTGTCTTCTATATCCTGTATATGTAAAAACACCTTTATGGTAAAGTCAGGATTTCCAAATTGTCAAAAGACATTGAACAATCTGAAATCAGGAAAATCATAAGGAAAATCCTAAAATGACGAAAAATCCTGACAACTTTTACACCTGTATTCCTCTTGACGGGCCACAGCTGTGCTAATTTGCAATACAGCTCGCTGGCATGTTCTAAACCAAAAAAGGAAACGTTACTGATCAAATTTATTGTGCGTTAAGCATGTTTACAAATTTAAAAGGATTTCATAAAATGTGTTTTGAAACACTAAAAATTAAAATTATGACCTTACCACATTGAAACCCTACTTTATACATTCTGTATCTCCCTCACTAAGTATGGTAATCAGGTACATTGTAACAAGACGTGTGTTGTCAAACACCTCCCTGTTTGCTTCCAAATATCTCAGTGTGAAGTTATGATGGTTCACTGCACTTTCCTGCCCATTTCTGAGTCTTGGCTTCAGCTCTTACACTTTAGCCAAGTCCAAAGAGCAACTAGAGTACACTGCAAGTGAAACTTAACCCGTGAAAATGACCAGGAAAAACTGTGAAAAGAATTCACATTAAAAGGCAAATTTCTTATTCATGAAAAAAGCTGTGAAAAATGTTCCCACTTGTAAAAAAATTTCCACCTGGTGAAAATTTTCCCCACTTGTGTAAAAAGGTGTGAACATTTCTCCCAATGGTGAAAAAAAAGGGGTGAAAAAATTTCCACCTGTGAATTTGTTTTTCACAAAGTGGAAGAAAGTGAGAAAAATTTTCCCACTGACTGAGGGGAAAATTTTCCACAATTTGTGAAATGAATAGTTATTTTTCATTTTCCTGGATGTGCCAAAGTGTGGAAAGTTTTCCACCTTTTGAGGTTAACTTTCAATTGCAATGTACTGTATTTGTCAACCACTAGCCAATTTTGTCTGGTAACCTAGGCACAAATATTCCAAGTACCAGCACAACTAACAAGCGGTTGTTCAAAACTACATGTACATGTATCCGTCCAAACTTGGCCCATTTTGTGAACATTGTAATTTTCAAACCAAATGGGCGTTTTCGACCTCTAACTTCACTCAAATGGATTGGATTTTCCTGACGTATTTAGCCACAGAGTATCCAAGGAAAGGAGCCTGATAATGCACTGATGTCTGAGCTCCATGTTTGAGAAATGGCCCTAGTTTTCAGCCATAGACATGTACATATGTATTGCTTGGTGTGCATGATGAGCTTGGTCATGGTAGTTCACAATGTGAACTATCTTTAGAAAACAATCCGCTTACTGTACATGTTGTACCATCTTTCATCACCTAAAATAGTTCTTCCAATATAATGCCCAACACATTGCAAGAAAATAAGCCCAAGGGTACTTACACATGCATCAATTCTACATACAGTAGAAGTACACTGTATCTTTTCAGTGATACACTTAAGCTCGTGGCACACAGCTACATGTACATACATTGTACACATGTACCGTACTTGCAATACTAAAAGCCATATTTACAATGTGGATGATTCTCTCTGAACAACTGAGATAATAAGCATGGTGCCATTATTACCCAAAAAGATTCTCTTATGTAGACACATGTACATTAATTGTACATTAAATGTAGTATTTGTTCAAGCAGAACTATCTGCATTGAATATTGGTATGCACATGTGTAGATGAATGCCTACGATTGTTCAGCTCCTCGTACCAACTTGAAAAAATCAATTTAAATCAGGTTATTAACTCTTAACTTTTAAGCCAAGCTTTTCAGAGTTCTGCTTACATGTATTTTTACTAGACAAAGAGTAAAAAGTGACATACAACTTCTGTTCCATACATGTACATGTATAGAACATATGTAATGTGGTCTATGGCATCCAGTCTCCTCGAGTGTGCATGTGGTATGTGTTTCAAGCTGAAGACACTGACTTAGTAGAAGCCACTCATACATATCTTTAGCTGTAAGTGGTACCGGGTAGCTACATGTCCATGTACATGTAAGCTTGTCATGTTTCTTTTGCCTTTGAACTTTTATAAGGTGAGTGTTTTTTTAAGTTGGTGCTCAGATCCGCCAACCTTCTGGATTCAGAACTGGAAAACACAATAAAATTGTTTGTTTTGAGAAGTGTTGGATTCGCCAACCAAGAATTTACCGATATATGTAAATGTAAAAAAAAAAAATTTTCTCCACTGTCCGACCGACAGCAAAGTCCCCGATTTTAAGTTTGTAAGCTTTGGTCCTTGGCGGCTTGTGCTAGTGGTGGGGGGGATACCTCTCTTTTTCTTTTTTTTTTTGAGTACTCTGCCCTCCGACTTCAAGACCCTTATTTGTATTCTTGAGACCACAGAAAATCTTTTCTTTTTTTTTGGTTTGGTTGTCTTTTCTGTCTGTCCTCCTCTAAAATTTGTCTATAGAAATCTGAGCAACAACTTATGAGTAAAAAATGCTCGCCTTATGAAAGGGATGTTTCTGTCATGGTCTTCAGTGCTGTTTTGGGCCAAGGTATCGTGATGGAGAAAATGCAGGGTGTAAGACTGTAACAGCCTGATGGCCATTCAGCACCCACTGTGACTCTCCGTGGATGCTCCAGATCTCACTGTCTGGGTCAAAATACTCCACAGTAAACTCATTTGTTTCCCTGTAATCACTGCTGCAGATTTTGCCACCCACAAGAAACAGCTTATTGTTACAGACAGACAGGGTTGCCCCATGCCGTGAAATCATGGGTGCATCCATCACAGTCCACTGCTGATTTCTGACATCAAACCGATACATGGCCATTGCAAAATCATTCTCGAGACCGAGGACATACAGGCTACCAGTCAGAACGACCATCTGGGGACGCATAAGCCGTGATGGTAGAGGTTCACAGCTGATCCACTTGTTATAGTCAGGACTGTAGCATAACATCTCTGACACATAACGAGAACCAGATGAACCTCCAACCACATAGATTTTACCAAGACATGCTGCAGATGTTGTATGAAGAAGTGCTTCAGTCATAGGAGCCACGTCTACCCACTGCTTGGTGGCTTGGTTGAAACACTGAACACTGGTCATGCGACTTGTAATCACAGGCTTCAGACCACCCAAGATGAAGACATCATTGTTGAGGGTCACCAAGCATCCACCATTACGACCTTGCATGCGATTGGTCAACAGTGACCATTTGCTTTGACTGGTGCTATATAACCATGCTCGGTGCCAGTTGGTCACAGTGATGATGTCATTGTTGATGACAGTGGCACAAGTGGCAAATTCTGAGCTGCCCAATCCAAAAGGAGACTCTGGAAGACACTCCCACTTCTGATGTTTGGGGTCATACATCAACATGTTGATAGCTTTTTTATCACAGCCTTCCATGCGATAGCAAAATTCCAGATCCCCAATCAAGATCATGACTTCAGAGTAAGCGCGCATGGAGTTAGCTCTTGATAGGAGCTCAGTGGAACTACTGATGCTTCTTTCACTGGACCTGCTCTTAGCTCCATGAAAGGAGTGTGCCTTCTTGACAATTTTCATGCAGTCATCAAATTCCTGTAACAAGGGTTCCGAAGCTGCAAGATAAAAGAAAACTCATCATTTCAAGCTGCCATAATGACCTTCATTTTTAATCGCATGACAGAAATAACAAATTCTGAAAGTTGCCCTATTAAAACTCAGACACTACACCTCAGTGTATTCACTCAATTCACATTGTTTCATCATTACCATCTCATTATCATGTACATGTACACTGTGCAATGATCTTTTAGGTCTGTCAACAAGATTAAACCAACCTGCAATTTTCAACACATACGCTTCTGGCATCATTTCAAACAATAACTTTTCAAAGAGAGAAGGGATGGCAGTCTTCCTCTTGTCTTTGTCGTGATATACCCATCGCATGACAGCTTCGTACACCTCCTCCTCTGAATCCACGCCCACATCCTTAGAGATGAAATCTTCTATTTGCTCTTGAGTAAAGTCCAGAAAATCCTGTGTGAAGGCTACATCAGAGAAATTTTTGACCGAGTACCCATGAGCTTGAGCACTGAGTTGCCTGTTGAAGAGTCGGTTAGCAACCTGTTCTGTCTCCAGGCTATTCATGGCATTCAAACGATTCTGCAGAACTCGTACGCATTCCTCCTCGACAGCTGAGAATTGGAGAAAGTTGGCAGCCTCTGCAACATCATTCACAATATCATCAGTAAGGAGCAACGAACCCGTGTAGCAATAGTCAATCAACTGGCCAAGGATTGATCCTGCTATGTCATGGAGGGTGACCTTATCAGAGCTGGTTTCTCCCATGTGACTACTGAACATGGCACTGAAGTAAGGGCATGTAGCTGCCAAGATAATGCGATGACAATGAAACTGCTGGCCATCATCACTCTCCAGGCAAATATCTGTTAACATTTTGTCCTTGCGTAGTGCATTCATCTGTTCTAGAAGGGTGGCTGGGTGTGATGTGTGGTGAATATGATTAGCTGAAGAATCTTGCCGCTGTAAGGCACTAACATCAGATCTGAGAGGAGAGGGTATTGTGGCTATCCTTGACGACATGGCTGACTTCATCAACTTAGTTGCTCAGAACAGATCTACATGTACATGTATCTGCAAGCAAAACAAACATTTGGATCAAAATTGGTTATTGAAGTACAGTGAGGATTTTCTGGAAATAACAGTTTGCATAAATATTCTAGAAATTTCTCCAAGGTCATTGCCCAATTGCCCAAGGTCATAGGCATTGCCCATGTACATGTATGTATGCTTGTCATAACATGACACCCTGCCCCAGAACAGTGGGGTTGGTCATCTGCCGTGCTCACAAGAGCCGTGGGGAGCATGGTGCCATGGTGGATAACAAACCCACAGTTCTAGGGGTACATGACACCCCCATTTACTTGTATATGTGCTTGTACATGTACTTCAAAATTTAGTTTGATATCATCCTCAAGTTTAACTGCCATTGCTGACTACAGAAAAATAGGAGAAATGTGTAACCAGCTGGAGCCCAACTATGAGCTGTGTCAGTAAGAGTTCCATACACATGCACCGGTACAGGCATCATTTACATGTACATACCGGTATACTTTCCCTTGCAGATGTTTAAAAAGCCAGCAGAAAGTGATAACATGCCCAGAAAGTCAAATTTAGCAGTAATATTGAATCATCTACCTTAGGTTCATAGGGTTTGTGCACAGGGTGTCAAGTGATGTCCATATGTGGAACTCTTTCACTGTACTGTACTTTATTAAATACTTTCTTCAAGTTCCAGTTCATTCATTCTTTAGTTTTCACATGACTGTATGTATGTAGTAAAGACATAACAGGAAAAATATGTGTGGATAGGGTCCCTTAGAAGCAGTGCTTCTTGAGTAGGGACCTCAATTAGGAATAATACACATTATTGCGAATAGCACATTTACTATAACATTAAACTGGACAAGAAACAGTAAGTCTTGTAAGCCTGTAAGACATAGAAACTAAATAAAATTAAACAGACTTTAAATACCCAGTTAAAAATTTGCCTTATAATTAAGGGTACATTCAAATGAATGTTTGTATATTCCGTACATTCTTTATAGAGATGTCTAGAAAATGCCATAGCTTGGGACCCTCATGCTTGACTGGTTTTGGTTAAGAGTGGTGTGCGAAAAGAATGATGAAGTTTCTTGTGCTGTGGGGTGAACTTGTGACCAGTGCATTTCTTCATTCTTGATAAAGATAGAACAAATGGATTTAGGCAATTTTTTATTGTTAAATTGTTGCATCAGGATCCCAAGCTGAAGAGAATACAAGTATTGCTTTGAGAGTTTTATACATGTACATGGACACTATATTCGAGATAAGTAGCAAAGTGGAATATTCTTAAAACTTTTTTTGTAGTTTTAGTATTATGATAATTAAACCAACCCCGCAATTACCCAAGGCTAATATCCCATATGTTAAATACGGTACAATTAAAGTATTTTAAAGTATATCGTGAGGGGAAAAAAGGCTTTAATTTACATATAACTTCTATCTTTTTAGAAATACCAGTAATCGTGCAGATATTATTGATTTGTTTTTTCCATGAGAGATTCTATTCAATATACAGACCTAAGAATTTAACACAATCAGTTCTAACAATTTGCAAGTCATCCGTAATGATTTCAGGTACTTCATGATATTGCTTCTTAATACTAAGCAGCATAGTTAGCCTTTTTTATATTAAGAAACAACCTGTTTGCTTTAATCTAATTTGGAACTTTGATAAGCTCAAGATTAACATTTTCACAAAGGGCACTGAGATCTTGACGAGTAGAGAATACATGTAGGTAACTGTCATCCGGAAATAAAATAAAAGTAAACAAGTCCAAAGATTTACATGTAACAAAATCATTGATCTAGATTGAAAACAGAAGTGGTCCCAGAATGGATCCTTACGGAACTCCATGAGAAAATGTACAAATAGAGAACTGGGCACTGTCATTTGGTACTACACCTGTAGATATACATGTAGATACATTCACAGTAAAGGTTAATGGTTTAAAGATTGTTCACATCACTTCTTTATCTAGTGAGTCACTAATTAAATCAAAGCCAGAGCTCTTTTTGCTGAAAAATATGAATTATTTCTGTCTCAACGACAGGACTTAGAAAAACAGAATTAAGGTGAGGGTTCAAGAGATACATTGTACTCAGTATAATTGAGATCATCAGGAGGGATTTGGTTACAAAGATGCTTACCAAAGTTTGTAAAATATTGGTTAAGGCGATTTGCAATAAAGTGTGGATTACTGGTGGAAAAACCTTCTACATCAATAATGCTAATTTGCAGTTAAGAGTTAGAAAACTTTCCACAATATTAAATCATATTTTAAAGCTCACTTCTCTGGGAAATAATTTAAAGAATCTGGCAAATCTCATTCCTAAAACTTCACAGTGGCAAGGGTAGCCATATTAAGTGAACACAGACTATTTATGGCACCACCAACTCCATCCAGTAAACAACCACATGTGCATACACGTATACATGTACTTCTAAAAGCACATTTTAATCCTGGGGGAAAAAATGCTGACAAAAAAGTTGTCAGCATATCGTAACAAAAGCATTAAAATGAGAATTTTCCAAGCATTTCTTAGTCATATTAGTGTTGAATGGGCATTTTTGTCAAGATACTGTACATGTATTACAAAATATAATTATCAATTGAAGTTGCAGATGTGGCACTGGTAGTTACCCTAGTTGGTTTGGCAAGAAGTGGTTGAGAGGACGAGTAAGTTAAATCTAAATATTCCTGAGACTGGCGATTGTTATCAGAAGTAATCAGGTTTGAATCAAAATCACTTGAAATTAAGCAAGGCTTACATGTATTTTCATTTGTGATTAATTGGAAAAGGTTTTTGGAATAAGTAATAAAATAATCTAAGTCACCATCAGGGGCTTTATACACGTGTGATGTCCTAGTTATAAGATTCTTGAAATTTTGTGGTGTGGCAATTTCAATGAAAATGCATTCAACCCGTCCACCTACATGTACTCTGCTTTTAGTCAGAAGAGTATATCCAGGTATGCTTAGACTACAGTGTATTTATATAAAATATGGGGATTTTCATTCAGCCAGGTCTGAGAAATTATAATTGAGTGAATGTAAAAGAATTGTTAAGTGGTCTATGTTTGTGTATAAACTTTGTATGTTTTAAGAAAGAAGTGCAAAATTTTCTGTGGGAACATGATTTAAAAAATTCACAAATTTATCATATGGATAGCAAAGAACATGTAAAATGATTTACACCTTGATAAGGATTATCAGGATCACAGACAAGGGGCAGTTGGAGGGAGTTTAGATTAATTCAGTTTTTTAGGTTAGTAAATTGTTGAATATGTGGGTCCAAGTCTGAATTGTCAGTTGCAAATTCTTCAGAATCCAAGGAATTAAAAGGAAACATATTAAGGCGCAATGGGCTGAACCAAACACCATCACTATTATTTAATCAATAAGATCAAGGTTGGTACATTTAAGATGGGTCCATAATTTATGACAATCACAGTAAATTTCATTTTGGTTAGTTCTTACAGGGTTATAACACACACTGTGGATACCTAATAGGCATAAATAACAAGACAATATATCTGCACATATAAAAAAAGATTGAGAAAAGTTAGGTATTATTAGTTATCACACAACTGCGAGCAAACACAGAATAATGTAGTGAATTAATTTTGGATTTCTGCTCTGCCCCACGTGTAATTTAACACTGTATGTTCAGTGTATGCCCCGAAGGTTTGTGAAAAAACCACAACCATACTTAGGTGGGACGCAAACCCATGACTTCCTCCTTACTACATTTAGTACAGACGTCTGTACTAGTAAGTTTGCCAGTGTCAGCTGGCTGCTTTGAATCAGATATAGCAGCGGGTATCATGAACAACTACATTTCAATGATGGATTTGCGCAGGGGAGTTAAATTAATTTTGGATTGATTTTTGCCCTGCACAACATCCATTTTAACACTGTATACTCAATATATGCCCCCGGAGGCTTGTGAAAAGAAACACAAGCACACTCAGGTGGGACTCAAACCCATGATCTCCTGCTTACTAATACAGAAGTCTTAACCAAGTCAACCACTGAGCTTGCCGGTGTCAGCTGGCTGGTTCAGATCAGATGTACCAGCAGGTACCGCGAAAAACTAATTCAAAGATGGATACGCAACTGGGCCTAGTGGTTTAACATACGTGCACAAGCATGAAGGAATCAGAAGACCACGTCTGACTGATGTGAAGTTACATGTAGTTCCTCGTTCGACAGTCAATGTCGAAAAAGTAACGGTTTGATATTCCAACGTTGTACAACTATAAGTAACCATTTGACATTCGGGGTGCACACTCCTAGAAATGATGGAGTGCAAAGGGGACAAAAAAAACTGTGCCACAATGCACATCCATTCACATGTTACTTATTTACATGGTATATGCCTTTTCCTGGGCATGAGGTTTGTCAGGGTCAAAGACCTAAAAAGTAGGTTACGTTTTTTACAGCAATTTAATTATCAGAGGACAAAAAATAAAGGTTAGTTTTTGTACGCTTGCCGTTTCATTAAAAGTATTTCAGTCAATTGAAATAATATACATCTATCCCATGCTCTGGCTCTAAACGTCTTTTTTCAAAGTGCTTCTGTACACCCTAGCAACCCCATTGCCTCCATTTCAACCAGGGCAAAGGCAGTTTTTCACAGTCAAAACAGCTTTGATGAAAGTCTTGTCGGAGGAGTTCATTACTTGCAATTTATCAGAGTGGGAAAGTTAATGCATCACACCACACTTTTCTCAAATCCAAATAACACACCCAAACCCCATGCCCATGGCGGTTGTCATGCCTGGAGATTACATTGAATCGGATGTCACTGTTCTCCTCAATAAGCGACGACTCCTTGCAACCCGACGACTCCTTGCAACCCGGGGCATGGTATGGAATTCCATACATGTATCTGCCATCATCCGTCGTGCGTCACCCATTGTGCGTCATCTGTCACTTTCTTTGGGGGGGGGGAAGGGAGATTTATCACACTTGTGCAGTGCTATATTTCACTTTGACCCTTGATCTTTTCACATACTGGTACTAGTTCAATCGAACTGCCATGCCTGCCTGTCCTTTGCCTGTCTGTCCTTTCACAATATCCCAACAGGTCATACCCCCGGAAATACAAGAGTAACTTTGAACTGAATGTATTTAATAAATGACATGTACTTATAATGTCTGATTCCTTTAATTTTATCCTCAAGGACGAACCCATTCAACATTGTTTTGAGAGCGGGTATATCTACGATGAAATCTGCTGCATACTCCAAATTACATATGACTTGAGTTGCATGTACATGTAGGCACACAGAAGTATTTTAAACAGTAATGTCACTTTGTTAGCCCAATAAATATTGCTGATATGCTGGACTCTCTGTGCTCAATGGCCTATCCACCATGGCATACTCACCCACAAAAACCAACATGTCGTATTTTTTGAAAATTAAACCAAGTGATAATTGCCCCCTTACATTCAATAAACAGCTACTTATCCACAGCACAAATGACAAAAACAATTTACTGTTTAGTATTTGTGGATTTCAAGGTGAAATTGAGAGGAAAACTGGGATATCTGCATCGGCTAGAAGATTTCTTTCTAGAATTTCATGAAAACAAGTTAGCACATTTTTACAGTAGGCAAGAGTGAATTGCACTGTGGATAAGTTTGCCTTAAATTTTTGCGGAAATATTTTTTCCTAAAAAACACTTGGTTGGATTCTCAGAAAAACAACACGACAGACGACGCACGACAGGCAACGGAAAATGTCATACGTAAAACTGGAAAATGGCAGAATTAGGACATAACAAAAAGCAAGAGGCGACGGACGACAAACAACACTCAATGGCAGATGGCCCTTAAATATTGTCACAGTTTTCATGAAGAGACAGTTTGACCCCAAATCATGATTTTTTTTCAAGTTTCTGTTTTTTGGTAAAATCAACTAGGCTATGTAATGCTTGATGTAATCATTTTTTACCAAATTACTGAAATACCCCAAATCACGGACCGCACACTGATCTCTGTGGGGTAATATCCAACTAAACTGCATTTTCGGTTTTTACGAAAAGACAATTTTGTCTTCCACTGATATAACGTTGGCAAAAAAATCAAAACCGCAGGCAAAACTGGTTTTGTAGTTTTCACGAAGAGACAATTTTACTCCAGAAATGTAAACAAATGGAACAATATTGCACCTGGCACACGCTATGGCAAAAGCGTGTAATTAGGTATTGTGTGTGCACGAAGAGACAAAAAGCCACACAAATTTTAGCGATTTTCTCAAAACTTATGTTTTGCAATCCAATGATTAAATTGTCTCTGCGTGAAAACTGTGAGGATATAGTCATGATACTTGGCACAGTTTGTTTTTGGTGCCTTTTGCACTCCATCTCTCTTAGGGATGTACATCCTGAATATCAAACAGAACTTGATCAACACTGAATGTCAACGTCAAATGAGGAATAAGTAACTAACTTCACACCGGTTTATGTCTGGGTACATTTTATGTTGTCACGCTCATGTGACGGTTTGCGCATAGTTCAACCGTGGGGTTCGACGTCCGCCACTTTTGTGGACGTACGGGTCGAACCCCACGGTTCTAAGGTAGGGCCTTACCCATTGTTACCGGACCGGCGCGGCCATGAGGAAGGAAGACGGACGAAACTGAACCAAACTAATGAAGTTTTCCCCAAAGTACAAGTAAGTGTTGAACATTGAGCTCGACTCAGTTCTACGATTACAAATAAAAAGTTGATCACTAAAACTGACGAGTGTTTCGCTGGATTGCGTGTCAGATCACAATTGAATAGTTTGCCATTGTTAAATCGTGCACATTACATACACCGCTATATATGCAGGTTACATGTGTTTTGCAGCTGTGCTTCGCAGCTACGTTGTTACTTAGTCTTAGTTCCAAGAAATCTTTTGCTATGTCACGGTTTTTGGACTGTACCATGATTCGCCAAAGTCGGCGCCTTGTACGCACCTTTCGGCTTGAGAAGCAAGCCTAGTAGTTCGTAGGGCATGCATGACCCTCTGACCTTCGGACGTGACGCGGTGGGCAGTTAGTTGAACTGGTCCCGTCGAGTCCGGTTTGTAAGTATGACGTCATTCAGTTAAACCACGCCCACTAAAGCGAACCGCTGACGGGTAGATTTTTGTCGATATTCTGATCACGGTGCTAGGCAGTCATAATCTTATATTTTTGTCGATATTCTGATCACGGTGCTAGGCAGCCCTTCCATATTTTTCGGTAATAATAGAGCATGAAAGTTGACGGCGCACTTCCGGAACCCGTGAATAGGAAAAAATAACGTGCAAAGAGTTTAGAATTTGTAATATTTTTTCGTTCAGTGTCTTCTTAAAAACTCCAACTTGGAAAAGGGGCTTTGAAAAATATTTGACAGTATATGAGTTTATAGAAACTGAAATATTACCTGACCTTAAAGAAAAATATCCGCCAAAAATTGACCCATCACTTCCGAAAATCCAAAATAGAGGAAGAGCGATGCAATATGGCAGTCTCGTACGCAGATGAATATTTACTGTTTGAAACTTTATCGTAGTCTCTGGGTAAAAACCAAATTGAAAACAGATCAAAATATTGTAAACGTTTAATGGTTTATAAGGGAATAAACATAAAGCAATATTCTACTTTTACGAAAGATTCTACTATTTTATCTAACCTTTGTTGACAACAACTGCGTGATGGCAACTCAACGGAATCTGTAGTAACCCATCGACTGCAGGTTGGTAAATCTCTGCAAGGCTGTACAATTCAAGAAAGCACGGCGAGTGAAAACAAACGTCCATGAACAAGGAGACCTAGGTACGATATCACCGGACGTGAAAGGTCATTAATAAAATTCGTTTTTACCCATCTCCAGGTGACTTTTCCAAAATATTACTTGAGGAAGACAAAGGTAAAATTCCAACACGAGTGTTTCCACCTTATGGACGGCCAAAAGGCCCAAAATTGATTTTAACAAAAGTTAACAATTACGAGCAAAGAGCATTTTATTATCAAAAATTTAAATGATAAAACACGAAACTAACACCAAAAACCATTTACGAAACAAGTTATTAAAAAATTAAATAACACTTAAACTACTAAAATTAATTGCACCAAAAATAAGAAATTACGGGCGAACAACATTTTATTATAAAAATGTAAATAGTAAAACACAAAACAAACACCAAAACATTCATAACAGGAATTATGTAAAAATAAATAACCAACATTTGAAAACAATATGCCCCAAAAAGTTCTTAAATGACAACAGTGAATCAAAATACGAAATAACTGATTTAAAAAACACAAATTGTCGAAACCAAAGGTTGCCAACAGCTCAATTCACTTTTTAGCAAGAAGCTAAACGCAAATCATTAGAAAAGTTCTTAAACAAATTTGGTTCCATCGTATATTACTTTATTTTATGTAAAATGACTTGTATTCTTTTGGCTGTTTTTGATCCTTTTGCCTTCCGGTATTTTTTTTTTTTATAAACAAACTCAACGCAAATCAATTCTCAAGCAAACTAAGTTAGTCTCATCGTTGGTGGCGTCCTATGTCATCCTCTACCATGATGTCCACGATCGCGCGATCTTGGAAGCGGTTTGTCGATCTTATGATGCAGCAACAACTGTGACATTCATCTCATTACTTAAATTGGTGTTTTGCCGAAGAAATATTAAATACCTGGGTATCGCAAATTTCATTCTCTTGGGGCCGGCCGGTGGAATCATTCTTTTGTCGATGTCTGAAACAATCATTAAAAGTGTCTTCTTCCTTAGTTTTAATTCTCCGAGAGTCAGGACCATTTCAAGGCCTTGAACTATTTTATTCAAAATTTATATTAGAAATTCTTCATATCCGTTGCAAATTCTTCCAATTGAAAGAGAAAAGCCAAAAAAACAATAATACTGACGGAGGGTCAAAGTATCGATGCAAGTTTATATTGTAATGGAGATTGGGGTGCGCTTTATGATATCCAAAAGCAACAAACAAATAAAAAAATTCAGCGCATTTTAGACACTTTTAGCCATTTTGACATTGACACATGGGAACTAAGCAACAAATATCCAGGGACAACATGTAGGATTTGTCCCTCAAATTTTACTAAAACCTTTCCTCAGGCCATACATTATTGATTACCTGGGTGAACATTGTCGATGATTAGAAACTCACCAGCAACGCAAAATTCAAAACGTCCTTTACTGCGATAGTGGAGTTTCCGCGATAAAATAGGAACCGATCATTGCTGAGCCTCTGTTGATCACAGTATTGTAATTTATTTTTCAGTGATTATTATCGAAAAATCATTTTACGACAATTTATTTCAAATCAGTAGTTATTGTATTAAATTTTAGATAAATGAACAATTTATGGTGAAGTTATTTTCGGTAGCGAAGAAGAAAAGGCAGAATATGTTATCAGCTCCTGCTTGACGTATGCATTGAAAAGGCATCGTTTCCTCTTTACACGCCCAGCAGGATGCCGGATTCATTACCCATGGTGGCCCTGAGGGGACAAAAAAATCACGACTAGTTGCAAATATTAATTTTTCGCAATGTCGTGAATTTATTCTCGACTATTTGCGAATATTTTCACGACTAGTCGTGAATATTTTCGCGATGTGGTACATTTTGTCTCACAGCTAGTCGCAAATATTTTCCCATTAGCTTGGAGGGTAAGTGCACTAATAACAATAAAAGGACGTTTTAAAGGAAGTGCTTCCCTTTAACATGACTGTTTTTCCACACTGTTATAAAAACGAGTAATGCGTCCCATTCAAATTTTGTCCATTGTGTTTGGTACAAGGTTTCGCTCTTTGCACGCTACCGTCACAGGCATGTGCAGAGCCTCGATCTGGTAGCTTTGTGTGTTTCTTATGTAATTTTACGCGTATTGCGTTAATGCGATTGGACAAATCGATTCTGACGTTTGTATGTCTCCCCCCCCCGCGTAAACCTGTCTTTTCTACAAATCTTGAAGTTCATGAGCCACAAAATAATTAAAACGAATCCATTATAAATCGTGATTTGGCCCGCGCCAGCAGTCTTCGTACTGGCGCGTAACCTGTATGTAACCACTAGAGCTATAATAAAAACTAGAGCGCTGACTCATGTACAAAGTGATTCCTGCTGCACGCATCTATATTAATTTGTGCACATAAGTACCTCTGGGAAAACTCGAAATTTTGTACGGTTTCAGTTGTACGGCTCATTTGCATGTCTGCGGCTGTATTCTAAAACGATACGTCAACAAAGCCGATACGTTAACAGCCTGAACGCAGTAAACGAGCGTTTCGTTTTGCTCTCGGCGCAAACAACGCAAACGCAAGCGCGTATGCACTGCACGTGTATTTTGCAGTGATGTTTTTATAATTATTCAGTGGTACCCAATGAGCACAACAGCCGATGCTCCAAAGCCGTCAAACAATTTAACACTGACTGAGGGAACGACTTTTTAATTTACCGTAGACAGCCATCGAAAGACATGCATACGAAATCGGACGACCTTGCTCAAATGTTAGGGAAACGTTCGTTTTCGAAATAATCTGCTATGGATGTAAATAAACATGTGCCATGTTGCCAAGAATATAATATCAAATCAGTGCTCTGAAATATGGCAATCACATACATGTACCTCTGAGCACCGATTTGGTATTATATTCTTGTCAATATTCTAATCACGGTGCTACGCAGCCCTCAATATTTCTCTGATGTGCCATATTGATTTGTATACATGTGCTGACATTCGCGTGTGTTATACTTATACATTGCATTTAGAATACATACATTGATAATCCATAGAGCTCTGTGATTGTATCTGATTTCAAATGTTCTACAAGCACTCAATTAGATTCAGAATGTCTGCGCTCAGGATTGCGTCAAAGTTTCTCCGCGCGGAGAATGAGAAGTCAGTGCTCTAGTTTTGATAGATTCGTCTCCGTCTCATCAGGCTCCATCTACGAAACCAATCCCCGTTTGTGGGCCTGAAGTATTTAAATTAAATTGAAGTACTGTAATGTTTGGCTTTTTGCATTTTTATTGATGTTTTGTGGCACTAGTATCAGACTTACTATTACGCTCACAACTTGGGTCAGGTAGTAAAAAAAACACGGTTGAAGCCTGAATGAAGCCGACGTACATCGAGGTGCTTGCAACTTACATTACCGCCCTCTTTTATTCAGAAGTTTCATACGACTGTTGTATGCATTCTGCATTCAAAGTCGCTACCACAAAAAACGGTCGTATGAAGTCAATACTCGACTAGACTCCACTCGATCATCAACTGATCAACATGTCGTGCGAACAGGTGGAAGAATTGGCCAAAGATTCCTCCGGTTCCAATGAGGTAAAATCGCCATATTTTCGTCAGTAAGATATGTTTTAAGTTGTCGTTATACGGCCCAGTTATTGCAAAGGTTGATTACGAGCCATTTATTGCGGATTTCCTGTTCGTAAGGGATGCTTTTTTTTTCCTTTTAACTTCCGCGTCGACGCGACCCAATGGGCACTTAACACAGTGTGCACTATCACATTATTGAGGCTGGTCAACCCAGTCAAAGTCACTGATGTTTGTCCTGGTCTTATATCACCGTGGGCTTGTTCCGTAGTTTTCTACATGATATTTGCGTGTATATGTCTGTGTTGATCTCTTCGTGGAAAATCATTCTTTGTTTTAAGGAGCTGTAATCTTAATTCATGTTTGTGAGTTGCCAAAAATTTGTGTTTGGTAAGTTCATGTACATGTACATAACTCGGTGTTACTGTTAAGCCATACATACGGATAGTTCTGGAAGTACATTACACTATAGTCATCATAACTGTCGTGCAAGCTGATTGTTCATCTTGTTTTGTAATGTGGATTAGTTTGGCTCATGCTATGACCTGAATACAGTTTCAGTCTCATATCTGAGGTTATTCAGCCCTAGAATTTCAGTCTTTCATCAGCAGATGATTTCTCTCATCTTGCTGATGATGAAGACAGTTGGCTGGAGTTGGCTGATCATTGTTTTGGAGTTGTATACATGGCTGTCACATCAAATTATAATGTGAGGACTTGAGTACAACTCTGAATCACCACATGTATGTATTATTAGGGGAATAATATAAGACTGGCTCAGGAGATTGGACACAACCAATGTCTGAGCCGCAGGTGAGGACATTATCAGCATTCAATCTCCTCAGCCGATCTTAAACATTCTCTTATGCTCTTGATCTTAAACATAAAGACAACCAAGCACATTTACATGTATTCCCATTTATAAATACCATTTTACTTTTAGTCAGAGAGGCAAAAGAACTCACTACAATAAATTTCAAGAATTTACTATCATTTTCCTGAACATCCCTGTCCATTTTATGGTATATTCCTTGTGCAAGTAGTCTAGAAGTCTCCTTATATGGACTTGGCTTGTGTGTGGTGAGTTCAGCATGCAATGGCGCATGCAGACTCTTGACTGAAAGGAGTGGATTAAACTGTCTTACATTCATGTGCTTTTATGCCGCAGGCATTTTATCAAATTGCAGTGGGTCATGTTGCACATTGTTGAATAGGCAAACTGTCTAGGGTATTTATGAATACACGTTTAAACATTTCATACTTGCTTTAACATGACATTGTAAATTGGGTACATCTTCTCATTGTGTGTGTTGTCATTTCATAGCTGACATGTAGATACTGTTAGCTTTGATATCGATCTAGTGCATTTTGCAAGGTACATGTTCTAGTACCTGTATGTATTCGTATCTACCAGCCCCAAAAGAAATCAAAGTCTAAGTCCCACACATACATCATGTAAGTTGTGCCCAATGTACATAGCTTCAGCTTTGCTTTATGTGTTTCTCAACATGTCTGTCAGCGTTTTGTGTTGGGATAAATGCAGTTCATTTGTTCAAGTTTACAAGATTCCATGGGTGCGTTTGAGTGAGGTATTCATGTTAACATGAGTATACTTCTGAGCGCTCGAACTGCTGGAGTACGACCTGCGGGTCAGTGAGAGTAATCTCGCTGAAGGGAGAGGGTACACTCCTGCACCCGAGTGTAATGTACACACATCTTACATGTACTCCTGAGTAACTGCGCAAATGCACCCTTTGTTACCACTACTGCAGTTCATGTGAAATGTGAATATTTATGATAGGCGTTCTAAATCCATTCAATGAGTTTTGGCCCCAAATTCTTCATAATCAGCATTACTATTATCTCATCTTTTCTGACAGTTGTTGGCAAAGTGAAATGAAAAGTTAGAATTGTTTTTTCATTAGCTGTTGAAATGGCAGCTGGCCTGAATAGTCTGAAATTGAGGAGAGTTTACCTACAAAATTCGATGTGAAATCTGAGGTTGTGTACATAACTATTGTGCATACATGTAGATCAAATGTGCATTCTGTGAATTTTTTATCCTTTTTTCTGCTGGCTATACTTGTAGTTAATGCAACACATGCGGGAGATCTGCTGCATTAAGGTTGGTATCAGGGAACTAGACCTTGTAGCAGCTATGACAGTAATTTTTCCAGCGCGTTTACCCCTGCATGCATAATGAAAAGTGATGGACTGAAGTCTTGATAAACAAGTTGCATATATGCAGACACCCACCTGAAATATGAATTGTCTGGATTTATCAAGATTTTTGGTTTGCTTGTTGCTGTAGAGGGCAGAAGATATTGCAATGCACATATACATGTATGCATACATTTGTAGCTGGTCTGTTTGTTTGTTGTTGGTTTCAAGACTAATATTAATAGTGTCTTTTGCTTCTTCGCCAATGCTGTGGGTCATATCCGAAGCCATTTTCTGTTATTTTATTTGATATATTTGTAGCTTAGATAACAGAAATCTGCAGTGACTAAGCAGGAAATTATTCTGATGCTCAATATGCTGTAAGCAGAAACGCTTAGCAAGCAAGAGGATGGTAAGCATGACACTAACTTTTGTTTAAAAGCTAGACACTTTGAAGATTAAAATGAAATATCTTCTGTTCACATGGATGTGCAGAAGACAAACTACGTGTTCCACAGTTAAAGAGTATCAATCGGTCAGATAAAGGAATGGTGATTGGAAAACTGATTTCATTTTGACCATGCCCTGTCAAAATCTATCAAGATGATGATAACAGGTCGTGTTCCTACATGTACGTGCATGTACTACATGCACATGTACATGTATATAAATGAAGAATTCCATGCAAAGTTAGATGTTTCAGTTGTTCATCTTAGCCATCCTGATTCCATCTCCTTTTCTTAGGTTGTGCAGTATTCTGATGGACTGTTGTGAATTCTTTTTTAAGTAGGAATGTACCATCTTGTTACTGCATACTCTTGGATTTCAGTTTATTTGGTCAAGTTTCTTACAATCAATAGATATGGTTAATACACATATACCGGTACATGTACTTGGGAAAGATCTCATTCAGTAGACAAGTACATGTAAAAAAAATCAGTAACTGAATCCTTACTTTTAATTACATACATGTACATATAATGTACTAATATTTATTTCCATTAGTCTTTCATGTAAGGAAATGCCAATTGATGAACCAGAAGAACAGACTAACAATTGTTGTGTTTTTCTTTTCTTTCATTCAATTCATTTTATTTGCCGAATGTGATATGGATAATTTACAAAGAACCTTTGCAACCCATGTACATAATTCATATCTTTTGTTGTTTATCAAAGCTGAAGTTGTTGTTTACTGTAGGCATGGTAGGTATTACGTTTAGCTGGGCAGAAAGTACAAAATTTTCTATAGAGGAAGAAAAAGCCTTTCTCTAAGAAGCACATGATTCAAATCATGTTGTGATATTTCTTGTTTGTAGGAGAACTCTGTGAAGAATATCGCTTCCATGTTTAACCAGCCTAGTCAAGTTCCAGGCATGGGTCGACCCCAGGTTGCTGCCAAGCCAGGTGTTGCAGCTAAACCTAGTGTTGCAGCTAAACCTGGAAAATTGGACCTTGACGACAAAATCAAAATCATTGCTCCTAACATCCGCTCACCCCATTTGGAGAAACCATCCAATGGTGTGGTCAAGTCGCCCAATAAGGTTGCACCCAAAAATGTGCCAACACCTGGAAAACTTCCAATGGGTGGACCATTAATGTTGGGAACAAACATGGCAGAAATCAAGAACATGAGGGAAAATCTGAAGAAAGCACCGGTCCCAGTGCCAGCACCAACCACATCTCCATCTGAACCCTTTAAAATGGAACTGAAGAGGTCAATCAAAAAGCCACCAGTAGCTCCTCCAACTAGAACAACACCATCCCTTAGCCAGAAAGTAACCCCACCCATTTCAGGAGGTGATGAGGCAGACACTGTTACCAAAGAGAATATATCCACCTCTAAATCAGAGGAAGATTCGACTTCATTGTCTTCGTTCACCAGTGAATCTTCCATCCCAAGAAGAGGCTCATCCACAAGTCAGAAGACAACTGGAGATAAACCGGTCTTGGAGATCCTGCCTCCATTGGAGACTATAGGACCACCTCCTAAGAAACCAGCAAAACCAACTAATGTGAAGCTACCCAAACCAACAGGTGAGTTCATTCTCAGGAATTTAATTGAGATATATAGTTTGGGGAATATGGGTTTAATGCGGATTTGGGGCCAAGAAGACTGTGCCTGGAAGCTTTATAATTTATTGCAATCTCAGATTCAAGAGCTGGTGCTTTAAGTTGATTAATTCAGTATGGTTGAAATGGTTGCCTTGGAAACAGTAAGCTTGTATTCTCAAAAAAGGAGAGAAGTGTACATATCATTGCAGGAGCAGTTTAGGACAGAAAGTTTCAAAAAGTACTTGAACTTGCAAAGACATGTTACAAAAGAAAGGGAAATTTGGGGTGAAATATGTACAAACATTTTTGGTTTTGAAAGACTGTTGGGGGAAACATGAGATTTTTTATTTGAAATCATTACTAAATGTACTGTCTGCAACAGTGTATTAGGTACATAAATGTACGTTCAGTAGGAATGAATTTAGATGGGACAATAATTTTTTGTCTATAAAATCACCATCTAATGAACCTGGTTAATTTATTTTTCCTGTTACTGCAGAGCCGCTGCCGTCAATTAATCAGCGCCCTTCATTGACCAAATCTACCCATACTGAGCAAGATAATGATGGAGCAGATTCAGGAGAACTTTATGATGATGTGGAGGTACATGTGCATGTTGATAAAAGAATCTCACTCATGTAAGTACATTGTGTAACTTTTATCGGGATGGGAGAAGCTAATTTCTTTACCAATCCGTTATAATCCCTTTATTAATTTTATAGCTGTATAGTTTGTAGCTTATTTATACCTGTAACAACACAGGGCCCTTAGGGATAGCAGTTGGTTGATGGCTAACGAGGTTACCCTGTTAAAATAAAACAGTAAATTTGTACCGAGGGGAATGTTTAAGGCATTGTGTTGTTTCGAAGTAAGGTTGGAAGTTACTGTATAAGAATAAATTTAAGTACGTTTCCTTTTTTCTTTTGAGAAGGATTTTTCATAGGAGTAGGTTAAGATGCCAGGCCCAGCTAACTGGTATCATTCAAACTCAAAAGTGAATTTGCTAATATCAAAACATATTTTCTTGTGTGATAGGAAACAGGAATTGTAAATTTGGCCATTTAGGATTTTATCCCAGAAATGGATGAAATTTCATCTAGTTATTGAAACTGAAAGAAAAGTCCAGATTATTCTCTATTTGAAAAACATTTTATGCAGGTTGAATCCAGGATAGGAATTTAATGGAGGCATCTAAGGCAATTACCTTAAATATACAACTTGTCGCTTCCTTTACGCCCATTGAAATGTTCCTATAGACTAGTTGATTTTCTTATGCAAATTCCCTTTTGAAAGGAGAAATTGCTTTGGCTTAAGAATAAAATTCCTGCCCTGCAAATCTGCGGATATACATACATGTACATGTACAATACTGGTTTGTGAGACATCATGATCTGTTGAATGAAGGATTTCTCAGACCATAGAGCACTTACACTGCGGAAATGGCCCATGGGTCATTGTGTGTTGTATGATTTGAAGGGAAATCCCCTACTTTGGCCAGTCTCAGCCCCATATACCAGCTTTTGACATTGTTTACTCAACTTTTCAATTCACAGCACAGACAAACCTACCCTATGCCATGGATGTGTATAATAAAATCTGGACTCGCAACTCACATGTACAACTGAAGTGGGACACTACTGTGTGTAAACAATATGGCATGAGTAGGTTTGTGTGTGTGTATGTACCAGATGTACGTGTAGGTGTGCACTTACACTTATTGTGTGTTGATAAACTTCTAGTTTATGTACATCCCAAAGGCCAGGAAGTAGAGATTTAAAGAGCTTACCAGGATTTATATGTTATAAAAATGATTGCTAATTTTAGTCTCAAAGTGAATCTAATATTTACATGGATGCAACCAGAAAAATGAGATGGACATCTTTCGGGGGGGGGTTTAAAGTACTCATTAGCGGCAACCTAACGCGCCGTGAACAAAGGAAGGTGATCAGTTCCGTATTTCTAAGCAAATTAATATTATTTATCCTGTTTTGTTTTGTCCTTTCCCCTTTTTCATTTTCTTATTTTCTGAAGTACCACTACCCCCCTCTCCCCTCAACAACACCCATACTGTCCACTGACTCAAGCTCATGAGCCATACCCTTGATATGTAGGATATTACCTGTTGTGTGTATAAAAGCATTAATGGTCAGTAGAGGTCAATTCATCAAGTAACGTACCTGTATGTCCTGAGGTAATCTTAGCCACAATATTTTCTTGTCAAGTCATAGTAACTAAAGTCGTGTGTCATAGTACCGGTACCTAGAGTGCTTAATTTTTCATCCTGGCATAATCTCTGTCATTGGCAAAATGATTTCAGAACAGTTTTCTGAAATCAAATATGTCCGGTCTTCTGTAGGATAGCATCAGCTCAACTTTGTAATGGTAATTTACACTTAAAAGATGGATGGTGACTTTTTAGTTAATCAGAGAAAAATTCTAGGAACAGGTTGAATCCACTGCTTTAAGAAACAACATGTTAGTCTGAAGTAATGCATGCAGTACGTCATCTTCCTTTGCCATGACAACAAACTCTAAATCAACAAAGAACTGTAAGTTACCATGTAGCTTCTGACCAATAAACTGGTAAAACAACTCAAAATTATGAAGAAGGAAAACTCCTGTTCAAAATATACAGGCTTCACTTTATGTAAAGTTGTTTGAGCATATTTTCAAAAAGTTATGCGTTTATTTGAGAATGTATCCTCTGCAGTTTGCTTCAAGCACTGGAAAAGTATAAATTATGGACATCTGTTTCCATTTTTATGCTTTTCAGTTGGCAAGGAATCTTATCAAAGAATTTAGAATCAAGCCATCACCATATCATGCTTGTACAGTATTGGAATCACTGAAGCATTGCAGACAGGAAGAATGTGATGGAAGATCTGTAGTTTAGTCCTAATGCAGTGAATGTATGGAGGAAAATTATGACGTAAGATACGTTGGATCTCTTACAGCCCTACCATGGATTCGGATGAGGAGTCTGCAGAGGATTTGCTCTATGATGACACACAAGGTATGTATACCGTGTACATTGTACATTTCCAACCTACCGGTATGTGTCATCTGTAGTAAACAAGGTTTGAGTTGCAGGATGTTGTGGGAAAATCTGACACCAGAAAGGAGAGTCGGTTTGTGCATCACATGTAGATCACATGTGATTTTGAATTATTTATCAGTTAAAAATTGGTTTTGAACCATATTTTAGTACTTGGCATGACCTGCAAATGTGCGGTCTTTGTTCAGCATGGACTTGGTTTTCTCTCATCTTTATTTTCATCTTCAGGTCTTTTTCAGTGGAATAACCCTAAGTCTAAACATTCAATAGAAAGGATGGTGTTCTCCTGAATTTGCTTACACAAATCGTTCCTTGAAGAATGTTTTTAGTAGAAAGGAAAATTCAAATTGGAGATCATCTTTGTATAGGTACATGTATACGTACCTGCTTGTAACATAGCACTCATGGTTTGGTGTAGATACATGTATATTACACACTTGGTATAAGTGGCAATATTTTGTCCTTATTGTTTTCATTGGCTGCCTGCATGTTTCACTGACCAGAAATAAGTCCATAGATTAATTGGTCATCAATTTCCTTGTGGTATAGAGCGTCCCATTCATGCTGAATGACAATAAAGTTTACTGGCATTGTTTTGGTCATATTTGTATAGCACCACTTATGCACATATTAAACTCATCACACTTAAATTAAAAGTGTGTGTGATTATATCGAAGACTTGTCTTTACTTTATTTAATTTGCTTGGAAAGAGGATGTGGCTTGACCTTTTTGATCATTGTCCTTCCTTTGACATGACAATCTATTGCTCAATCTGTAGCCCAATTGACCCTGGATTGTATGATATTCACCTCTTGTAGTATACTAGTTACATGTACCTTGCTGGATGGTGTATCTACAGGCTAGTTTCTATTTCCTGAATCATCTCTGCTTTTGCATGCCTTAAAAACCAGCCTGGAATGCATACAGGAACCTCACAATAAATTTATGTATCACCTGTATCATGGTGCTTGTGTGTAGGTATGGTCAGTAGAGCATAGGGTATATAACTACACTGTAGGTACCAAACACACTATGCAAATATACTCAAATGTAGTGTAGTGATTGGGGGCACCGAATCCCAAACCACAATCAATCCCAGTCCTAGATGACATAAAACCTTTACAAGAAACCTCAGGTATTATACATGTAGGATAGTGGGTTTGTGCATTTTGTGGTTGTTACCAATAGAGGGCACAATGGAACCGAGAAAAGTCAACAGTTAGGCCACACTGTTTTGAAGAAGAATAGAACATGTAACAGTGTAAGTGCTCTTGAAGATTGTCCTCTTGACCAAATAGTACTGAATCCACACAGCTGTTGGTTCTGTCAATAGGACACAGAGAACAGGCATACATGCATTTCCTTTCTACATTTTATTATTTTAACCCAGGGCCCCTTTGTGCATACATGTTTGTAATGTGTAATGATCTGGCAGGCACTGTGTTGTGGGGAATTTTGTTTTTTCATTTCATCTCAACATTTATTTCTGTTGTAACATACATCTGTTGGGGGCCATTAAATGAAAGGTGTATTACGAAAGAACGTACATGTATAAAACTTAAAAAGGAAAAAAAAAGATGACACAAATATTATGATTAAAGAGAAGGAGCTAATGGTATCTCAGAAAATCGGAGACAAGTTTCCGGGGGGGAGGGAGAAGCTTCAGAACAATGAACTGATAGACCATTAACTCTGGAAGGGGAACGTTTCATGGTTTTCAAGCAAATTTGTCATTTTCATCCTCTTTTATCTCTTTTTACACAAGTTTCTATTGGTAGTTTCCAGCCCGACCACAGTTCAGTGAGGTGTGTGTATTCATGCAAATTGTGTAAGGTGGGTCAAAGTTGAAGTACAGTAGCTGTGTGCCAGTATAGTACAACTGAAACTGGGTTGTGTACATAGTCATGTGTAGTACTTAGAAGGGGAAAGGGCCACGTTTAATGGCACCTGACAACTTGAAATGTACCAGACTTCTTCATGTAAGCCGATACTTTAATTAATTGAACCATTTCCTTAGAAAGTGCTTAAATTTGTCCTGAGGTTAAGTACATGCACGACGGTAGATAGCTCCCACAGATGCATAAGTCTGAACATCCCCCGTACATTTAGGTCAGAACCATTGATTACTGTTTTATTTAACATTTTGAAAATAAGTGTGATGTTTTAAAGAAATAACAGACTTATTTGGTTGAAGTTTACAGTTATCATATGGAAATTTGTGAAATTCCAGTGCTTGTTTTTAGTGATTTTTTTTGCTTCAGAACTGTAACCTCGGGCATTTTTACTTCAAACCAGTGGTGGGGGTGGGTGGGCTGGGGCCCTTTGCCCCCACACAAATTCCTGGTTCCCTAGGTGACCCCCCCCAAAAAAAATCGGATGAGTGGATATTGAACAAAGCTAACAAAAACTTGCCCTGAAAAACCTCACCACTGAAAGCTGGTGCCCCCTTTGTGCCCCCATTTGTAAAATCCTAGCTACGCCACTGCTTCAAACCCTTGAGTTGATCATTTCCCTAAGTTTGGAGAGTGGGGAACATGTTGTGTCTGTAGGTTTGTGCTGTGCTTGTTCGACATCAGTAGATTCAGGAAAACATTTGTGTTTCCAAAAAAATACTGGACTACGCACTCCCCTGGAAGAACATGAAACCCACATGAAATCACCGGGGAAATGGACGAGGAAATTGAGTGGGAGTGAGGTTGAATCTGGAAATCCCTGTGTTGTAAATCAAACATATTGGTTAATCGTTAACAAGGAACTCTCATGGCTTGTTAGTCCAGCACTTCCTTCCTTATTTGTATTCATGGCCCTGGCATGTCCTGGCTGATATAAGTATCTGTTCAAACATCACTTGTCTGAGTTTAAATAATCCAAGACCAACATTACAGGTAGATCTACACAGTATCTGATTTGAATGTGTAGTTTCTGGGTGGTTGAATGGGGATAGGCAGGTGGATGGTAGGGGTGGGTTGATTAATGAGGAGGTTTGCCTTCACTTTAGTTTGATCTTCATGTACATTTGTACATGTACATGAATATATATATCGGTATAAGGGCAACACCTCTCTCTCCTCTCTGTCTCCCTTTATCTGTAGGGATCCAGATTACATTTTCCTACTAATACGGTCTCCAAGTGGCCTATTAGTTTTCAGCCTTGAAATTAGTTTTTAATTATCAGTTATTGGCAAATGTCCCAAATACATTTAAATATTGGCCTCTCGTTGCGAAAATTCTAAATCATGTGATCATACCACTACCTTGTTCTGTATGACATGTACATGTATGGACTTCATTTCAGAAATACTTGTGCAACAGTGACAGATACTCAAGTACATTACTGCTGTGTGCTTTTGTACACATTCTGATGAAATTTGGCTTTGCATGGACACAAATGTCTTTGCTATTTCTTAAACTATTCATTAGTGATCCCTGTGATTTGTGTGCAATGTTTCTGTAGAATAAAGGAAGAAATGATATATTTCTTTTTTACAAAAGGGTAAACATTCACACAGTGCTACATTTACAGGGAAACAAAGTCCTAGCTTTCTTATAGAAGTGTCATCACACATTCTTTATTAATTCTCATCTCACTTGATTTCTAATTCATGTATGTGCATGGGATGTATTGAATACACATGACTCTTGCTGACAGGAAGAGATTAAACAACTTTTAGAAGGTACATGTACATATATTATCTGACATTTTGTTATAAAACATCTGGGCAATAGTAAAAAAATCCTGTCATTTGACTTACTGCATACTTTTTACATCAACTGTCAGTTTCTCTTCCGCAATTTCATCAAGGACACACACAGAACTACATGAGAATGGTACATGTACAATGACAGGAATTCTCGTGAATAGAAAGGTCACTTCTGACTTGGAACTGTGCATGTGTCCAATTTTTCTCTTCCTTCTTTGCTTCCTTGTTTTATTTCATGTTAATGTCCATACTATCTCAGAAAGTGACAAAAAAACGTCAACAATAGGTTTCATTCTGACTACAGCTTATCAGGGAGAGGTCTCAACTGGAATAATGTGTATCACAACGTAAGAACTGTAATTTTTTAAATTTTTCAGTTGTCAGTTTTCTCCGGGCGGGAGGGGGGGTCAATTTAAAACAAAATAAGATTGTCACTGACTTGAAAAAAAAAGGAGTGTGTTTCTTATGAAAACCTATCTGTATCATACACTAACTTTTACAGAAGAACAAGCCTGGGAAATCAAATTGTAAAACTAATAAGGCTTGGAAGTTACTGGCTTCATATAATTCAAATGAAACTGAAAAAAGAGTATGCAAAATCAGACATGGAAATGGCAGTTTTTTTAAAGAAAAATATCAAACTTTGAAAAGACAAAAAGCAGACATGAGTTGCCTAAGAATTATACCAATTGATACTTTTATTGACTCATACTGGAAGTTGATTTGTGTATGTATACATACATTGTATGCATATTATGTTATTTCGTCATTATCTCTGGTTGAAGTCTGTCGTCATTCAAAGTCTTGTCTCATGTGTCATGATGGTATTCTATTTTATATTTCAGTGTACATGCACATCCCTTTTTCTTCTGGTGAGGGGAGGACTGATATTGTATAAGTTTATATTTCCCAGGATTCAACAGTTTGGTACTGGAATCATTGTTATTTGCAAACACTTACTCTTACCTCCACCTTCCAATCCTTTAGGCTTGTGAGCTGATGCCATTGGCACTTTTGAGAAATTCTTAGGTTTACTGGAAAGAAAATATGAAAATAAATTTTTTGTTTATTTTCTATAATGCTAGCACCATCGTTTCCATCATTACCACCATTACCATCAGTCCAATCCATCCCTGCCGTTCCTCAAACCAGTGGGTCTGATGATGGGCCCCAGGAGATCTATGATGATGTTTCCTTAGAAGGGGTAAGTCGAAGAGAGGAAACTTGTGTTATCCATGGAGAATCTGTGAGATGTGGAGAAGAGGCAACTGGTCAGTCAGTGTTAGCAGTATCAACAGCCTCACTTTTGCTGGACCATCAAGGGCAGTTAGGAGGGATAGTCTCCCCCCCCCCCAAAAAAAGAAGCAAGATATTGAAAAAAGTTCTGGTTTATTTCTTAATTTGGGAAAAGAAGTTTTAAGGGTGTCTGTTTCTTTCCCCCTTTTTTCCAAAAGTGTGAGAAAAGCCTGAAACTACACGTGTAGCCTCCACCCTCAGAGAGGCCATGAAAGGTTACATGTAACCTATGTACATAAAAGTTCTAAAATTTTGGGCTCCCTAAAAACAATTTTGCAACCCCTTGAAAATTTGGTCATTGTTCTACCCTTGTAGACCATCAGCTGATCTAATTGCACTATACTCACTGATTGAATGTGTGGTTGCTATGGTAACTGATGTGTCAGAATGTATTGTCTCTTGAGCAAGCAATATAAGACATACAGCACAGTGCAACTACCTTAGTAATATGCTGCATTGACTTTGATATCACTTGAGGAAATTGTACAAATGTCCTGATAGGTTACTCTTTGCTAATATCCCTATTAAAAGATTATTATTAATACATGCTTATTGATTGGTCTGATCTTAACAGGAATGTGAGGAGCTGTATGAGGCATTGGATGTGAGTACCGAAGACACACAATCACAGAAAAGGTATGAGTTAACCTGATAACAATTAGAGGGATCTGTTAGGTTAAAACATTAGACAACTGTTGATTGTTCTTGTACCGTAGCTTTTGTGAAGCTAACCCTCCAATTAACATTTCGTGTCTGTTTGTGGCTAGCGATAATCTTTGCAACGTTTCAATGACAGCAGTGCCCTTTGTGGACATTGCTTATATGGCCGTTTAAAAGTATTTTCATACCGGTAGGTCTGTTTTCAGAAGAATGTAAATCTTCATGCGAGTGGATTGTCCTTAATTGTGAGCAGGACTCAGCGCATTGGATTTTTATTATGGCTCAAGAACACATATCTTGATCATAGCTACATGTACATTATTTGACAATCACTCTCCAGGAAGCATGATACAGACAAGCCTAAAGCCTCTTCAAAATGGCGTGACAGTTCAGTGGGGAGTAAAGCGAACAGACCAACAAGCAAGTGGTTTGTTTCACCTGAAGATGATGATGAAAGAAGTTAAGACACAGTATACAAAGGAACTTGTTCACATCATCTTATCATCCAGTTCAGGCTTTCAGAATTGCTTCTCGCTTCATTTCTCAACAGAGAATTGTGTTCAAAACCAAGCCTTGTGTCTAAAGTCTGATTTAAACTATAAGAAAGTCTTGAAGTTAAAGAAATTTTTTAGAATAAAATTGAGAAGAGCGTTTTTCCTATCCAGAGATGCCAAGTATACCCAAGATTTGTGTAATGTGGTTCACTTTGAATTTTTTGACTTACTTTTCGTGAGCCAAAGTTGTTGAGCTCTGTTTAGTCTGTGTTCTTTGAAAGCTTGTGTGTAGAAATATTCACCAACTTGTATCTGTGGGACTCGAACCCATGACCTGCTTACTGGTAGAATCATTTTAATCACTGAGCTTTTAACGTTATTTAGCGACAGGTAACTCGTAATACATACATGTAACTGTTGGTTGAAAAATTTGTGTCAGCAAGATTGAAAATTTGGTTCACATAAGACAATCCCTCCTGCTGGGTCCGGCTTAATTTGTAACTTTGAAAAGCTGCCAATTATGTTGACCACTAATTATTACTGCAGAAATCATCAACATCTTCACAGTACATGATGCCATGTTATGTTCACTGCCTACATTGTATTTGTCAAGAAATGTACCCTCTGCTCTGGTCGACTCTTCCAAAGCTACGTGTGTGTGACTTCTTCATGGCATTTCTATCAAGCCCAAATTCAACTGGGCCATCATTCTTTGGCTAAGTTGCAAGTCATTGCCAATGTGCCAGTCACTTAGCAAAGATTATGCTGCACAAAGCTAAGCCCATGTCAGAGGCAGTATTTACCCGTAAGCTGTTGCCATGTCAGGTTTTGCGTATACCATGTCCATATACATGTATTTCCCCAAACCCTCTTCCATACAGACACTTTTAAATTTCAAATTCCACCTCACTGTTTATAGTTTCACTTGGTGTTTTCACTCCATCTGAGCATGTGTGTCGTATAGGCCTGTGATGCCCTAATGAAGAAATTTTTTAAAATCAGTCAGAAAAAGTACGAGTAGATAGTGGTACCAGATAACCATATAGATCTGATAGTCATCCTCATTGCCAGCATAAAAATCTGGGTTTTATCCACTAAGTTCTGTGAGTCACCCATGAGTTCTGTGGGCACCCATTGAGCTCTAGGAGTATACATTAAGTACTTGCTGACATTCTGTGATTACCCAGTGAGTTTTGTATGGAGTTCTGTGTATCATTGGAATATTAACAAAGTCAACAATTTGAGTGGCTCTTGTGGTATTCTGAATCCAGACATTTTCCAGTCATCTTTGTTACCTTTTCCTTTGATTTCAGACATTCCCTCGAATCCACTGAATCGGCTGATACTGCCGCTAAGCAGACAACAGCTCCATCATCTCTGCTGTCTCCAAAGAAGACAATGACCACTAGGAGTAAACAGGAAGAGAAACAACGGAAAGAACAGGAGAAACTGGAACAGCAGAAACGGAAGAAAGAGGAAGAAATGAGAAAGAAACGAGAAAAGGAAGAGAAAAAAAGAAAAGAGAAAGAAGAGAAGGAGATGAAGAAGAAATTCAATGTTAGTAGAAGACTTATTTGGCTACGCATTTGCATTCATGTCTCTAAGATTGTTGTGCATTCAAATCATTTGGAAAGGGTATGCTGTTGTGAAAACCCTATTCTATCTTTAGAGACTCATATCTGCTCAGCATGGGGAATGATGGGATGGAGTCGAGGTCATCACAGGTCATCCAGTCTTAAGCCAAGTCATAAGCTATTCAAGTGAACTATGACAAAAGCATTCCTTTGTCATTGTGCCACCTGCTACCTGGGACTGGTCTGGTGACTGCACTTTGACTGTGCTTGTAAAAGGACTTGTGATGGACCTGACTGTAATGCTACCTAAAGCTTGCATTATTGGTATTAATTTGACATGATTGCAAGTTTTTACAAACTATATCTATATCATAATGTGGTACACAGTAGTGCTTTATGGGCGATGTACACATAGTCAGTCACGGACCGTGGAAGTGGAAATTGCTGCAATTTAAATGGTCACAATGTGCCTTGATACACTTTCATCATCTGTGTTCTGATTGGCTGAACTTAACAAGCAAGCACAGACCACATGTAGTCTGTGAAAACACTGAAATCAACTTGACACTATCTTATGAGTTCATCATGTTGAGAGTTGGCCTTGTTAATACAATGCACCTACAGTATTGACTTCTAACCCATTGATGAAAACAGTGTACATGGCATGATGTTTACCCAAGTACTCTGACTTTGGTTGACTGTTGCAAATTGAAGCTTCCCCCATGGTACATTATTAATACAGCAGCTAATATTGGACTTATTGGACTTAACTGAATGTATCTTTTTTACTTGTCTTCAGATCAAAGGAGACATCCATGTTTTGGACACAGGAACAGCCATTCAGGACTGTGGGTCTGACTATGAGAAGACAGATCTCATTTGTAAACGAGGAGACAAACTAGAAATCCTGAGGAGAGAAGGGAACCCACCAGGGAAGTGGTTGGCAAGGGATACACAAGGAAAATGTAAGTGTTTGAGTATAGATGATCAAATTTGTACTGACTGAGCTTCATGATCATCATTAGAAACAAGCAAGTTAGGAGCTTGGTTAAGAGACATTCTACATGTAGTTTGGTCATGAATTATCTTGTGATTGTGAACTAAGGCTACGTCTAAAAGTATTGGCTAGAGCTGGCAATAAAGCACACGTTATGAGAAAACTACCAGACATGTTCATGTCATTGCCTATTGCAGCCAAAACGAAAGCTGCAGCCTCGTGTGCTTTGTCACAAGTGCAGTTTTTGCCATGCAAATATTAAATCACTAAATGCTATATACTCCCAAAAATATTCAATGAAAATGCCTCCAATTTAACAATGATTAAACAAAATGTGCACATTGAGGCAACATTTGTTTCCAGCCAAATATAAACTTTCCACAAACTTCTGCCTACAAACATGGTTGTCAGTGTTCGTAAACAAAAGAAGATTGTAATGTGAAAATAACTGCCTGTCAAAGTTGCAACCATGTATTGAAGCAACAGTGATTGACTTGTTAATGTCAATGCAAAACTTGTAGTGTTGGATTTTTGCTGTTCTTGGCAATGCAGATATATGTTGTTGATAAGCTGTCCCACAAATGATCTGTTGTGATTTAGAAATCTTTGTGAAGACAGAGTGTGAATGCGTAACATGATATAAAGTCGTTATTAACATTTTCTTGTGGTTTTTCGTGACCAGATGGCTTTGTTGAAGCAGATTTTGTAGCTATCGAGAATGATTGTCAAGAAACCTATGATGATGTCATTCCTTGTGGTAAGACGATTTTTCCATCTTGGCCCCTTTGTATAGCTGCCAACAATGACAAATATTAATTTCTAATTTCCACCCAGGAAGACGCTTCACTATAGATTTTTTCCTGCCCCTGTTTTTCTTGGGTGCTTACTGTTTGGTTTCCTATCCTAAGCTCGAATGTGCACAGTTTATTACAGTGGTGTATCCACGTTTTTGGTGAGGTTTACAGTTGGATTTTTTTCTTAAAATCTTCTTGAAATTTCATCCATAAAAGAACCCTTACTCCCCCCCCCATAGTGCTAGTGCCATGATGAAAATGTTAATGCTTTCAATTTGTTTAGAAAAAATGTTGCAGCATGCAACATGTCTCCAGAGGGCAGCATCCCCCTCCCAGATATCTCCCCTCCCTTCCCCAGATATGTGGCTGGTGCATTATTATTTTCTCTTGGAGCATTTTCGAAATGAGTGGATTTGGCTTAGCCTTTGGTTTCGTTGATTCCAGCCATTTTGAAGCAGCGTTCGAAACCACATGTTCAAGCTCTGACTGGAACCAGTGAAACTGAAGTCTAAGCCGAATCCACAGGTTTCAAACTGCTCATAGAAACCCTCCTCTGCAAAGCCTAGTAGAATTATAGAAGAGTAGTTCGTGACGTCATGATTTTTCTTTCCTGGTACAGATGAGAGCGGTTCAGAGAATGAGGAGCAACAGGAGATCTATGAAGCCTTTGATTAAACCTACCAATCATAGTCATTCTTTCATAGACAGCCAGCTAATCAGATTGACTCATGAACGTAGATGTCAGTAGGAACTACTTACTTCAAATTTTGTTCAAGTCAATGTAATTATTTTATGATATAAAGGTGCGTTTATTACCAGATATATATAGTGTATACATGTAGGTGTATTTATTTCTTGCTATATGTATGTTTTTTATGACATAATGGATATTTGTACTTCGGGAACTAGACTTGGATGGATTCTGACTGAGATAATGCATTATATGAAATAACATGTATGCCTATGAAAGCCAGTTGGTGGCGGCTACAGCCGCTTTCCACAGATGTGTGTCTTACTCCTAGCCATAGCCAGTTGATCTGGACATAACTTTGTACTTGTAAATGACTCGTCTATAAAGTGATGGAAAAATTAAGCAAATAGGCCATACAGTTTGAATAATGTCTGGGTTTTCTTGCGTGCGGTTTGAATATCCTAATTTTGAGCTTCATTGACAATTAGTAACTTTCTTTATGCAAACAAGTTTTGGCTTGGAATCATTTTGTGTCTATGTGCCATTGTCAGCCGGGTTGAATAACTGTAATGTCTTGGTACTGTGTGTCTTTGGTGTAATAGACATAAGCTTGCCTTGAATCACGTGATACAGTAACAGTATCTGTTATCAAATGAACAACCTTCATGCACTTGAACAAGTCACTATAGAAGACATTAATCATGTTAACCTTATGAAAGATGTAGATCACTTGCAAAAGGTCATGGAAAGAGGAAGAAAGGAATGCTGACTTTACATTTCACTTTCTGTTGAGTTTTTAAATGTTTGAAGAGATTATTACTGTTGGTTAATTTTTGTATATCTAGTTCTCTGTACTCAGTTTAAGTGAACTCAAGCCTTAAGTGAAATGCTTTCCCATCGTTGACCTGAAGCAGGTGCTCAGACTTCTCTTTTACAATTGGAGAGTTTCCTAAGCCAATCATAGATTTTTACAATTGATACCGTTCACTGTTGCATGTAAACACTTTCAGAATGAAATTCTATACATAGTTTGTTTTGACTTACAGCTGTTTTCTATTATTACCCTTTTTGTACAGGTGACTTTTGATACAAAAGTTTAAATTTTGTACAATTTGAGAAACATTGTAAGGGAAACAGGAATAAAATTATATGCAAAGTTGTTTGTACACAAATTATTTGTCTATAATGTGCCAAATTGCAAAAGTCAAAATTTAAATGGACTGTTTTGCTACTTTAGCTTTTTTTAATGCACAGGTCCTAAGTTGTTTCAATATCTTTTTTTTTAGTCAATTATTCTTGGGCTTTATGTAGTAAGAAGTTGGGAGTGAACTTGAAGAACAAATCATGCAAATGTATAGCAACCATGGAACACGTGGTATTGGAATAAAACGAGGGGGGTCATACAGGAAAGGGGATGACTTTTTTTTCGTTTCAGTCACTTAACCATACATTTTTAATGTGTAATTTTTGTTTTGTAAATTTGAATAATGTGAACTTTATGTTGGGTTTGAGAAGCTGAGTTTGTAAAATTGGGGTTTAATTTGGTTATCAATTTGATGTGTGTTTTATTCTTTCATTGCAACTGCTGGAAAAAGTTGTTATTTGTCTTAGCATATAAGTAGCAACATCCTGAAATTACATACAAATCACCTTATTGAGAGCAATTGCTTGGAGATAAATCTTGCCATAATGTTGCAGCTAATTAGGTATTTGACTATATCATACTCAGATGTTGAGATCTTATAGAACTGTGTTAAATCAGACAGTCCACCAATTCATTATACTGATGACCCAGCATGCTCTGTAATCATAGTAAGGAAATCTCAGCAGTGTAAGGAAAGACTAGGTCAAGAAATCTTGCTTAACTGTTTTCATGCAAGTGTTCTGAGGTCTGAGATTTTTTGAGAAGCCCTGTGGCCAAGTCTCAAGTCTTTGTGTACAAGTTACACATTTTCTTATTGGATTGGTCAAATCTAATACCAGAACTGAAGATTTCACTCTGTACTGTCTTGGGTTATTAGCAGACAGGTCAAGTAATTACAAGTCTGTGAAGTCCTTGTCACATCTAAAATCCAAACTGTCACAAAGCCTTTGTGAGTTTCCCTTTAAGACTCTTGCTGTCCCCAGTGCCACAGTCTAGCCATCATCTAACAAAATGCGCCTATTCCCTGGACAACACTGATTTTCCAGGAATTTGAGGGATTCTGTGTCTCAAGTGATATTCTCTTAACAAGAGCAGCATGATGTCCATGTTATGATTGTGTAGATGTATGATATCCTACAGAACTTGTGTGTGCTCCTAGTTTTGAGAATTCCATTTCCTGAGATAACCTGACTCAAGCTGTGATTGTGCAGGACTTCGGTTCATAAATTGCTCTGACTTTTAGTAATTTGTTTTCTGTTTATATGTTGCTATTAATGCAACATGCAAAGCTAAAGAATGAAATATCAAGATGTCATTTTTATAATTGAAATAAAATACGTCATTAATAAAACCTTTCATTTTATTTTGTTTATTTAAATATTGTTGCTACTGCTTTAGTTAGGAACGTGCTTCTCCATATGAATAAGTGTTCTCACTGTTCACTTTTTTCTTTTTTTAGGTTTTATTTTTCAAATATTTCTTTGCAATTAATAGCATATGGGCACCCCCCAAAATCGCGCATTTCGGGCCGGGAATACGCACTGTTTGCAAATTTTGGCAGACGAGACGCATTTTTGTCCCTTCCTAATGGATGATAATTATGATCATTTGGATGAACTCCAATCTGGACGGTTGCATTTCATGTTTGCGCTTGCAATTACACATACATGTACATGCATCTGTGCGTTCGATGCTGTAATGTCGGAGCGCCCTCTGTGATATGTCTTTTTTCCTTGATCGGTAAATAAAGGAATCACTGTAAAAGTACTGGTTGTGTTTTGTTTGTTTCTAAACCAACAAAAATTCCACGTGCCTATTTTGTATTTTGAAATGTATTTATTCATGCTTGGCAGACCAGTATTTTGCATTTGGGTGACGAAGCCTGCTCGTGAAATTTATTTTAGAAATGACCAGGCCTATGTATGGTTCTTTTCAGAACCCCATACATTCCTCTGTCGGAGATTTCACATAAATGATGCTACTGCAAACCGTAAAATCCTTGTTGAACATTACATAGGGGATTTTTAGTCACGTAATTTTGACGGCCAGCGTTCTAAGTCTCTCAGTATTCTGGTGTACATGAAATTGTAAATGGCCAGATTCGAAAATGCACGCGATTCCTGATATGCCATTAGCAGTCATTAACGCCACGTGAAATCTGAGTGCTAGCTTCACATGAGCATAATCATGATGTTTTATAGGCCTAGTATAATCGTATTCGCAGAAGATAGCCAGTAGCGTAACCAGGGAGCCTGAATTTCTGAAGAGCAAAAATTTTTCAAGGAGGAATTACAATCAAATAAAATATAGCTAGTCCATATTTGCGTCCTATTTCGCAATTTCAAATACGGGGCCATGGGGAGGGACTTGCCCTGTGCTCATGCGTCACTGTTTGAAGCTCGAAAACAACCCTGATTTACGGCAAAATTTTCTTTGACAAGTCCATAGAACCTCCGTGCATTACCGTCTGTTTCCTTCTGATAGAAAATAAATCACAAAAAGTAGTCAAGCGAGCGTTTGTTATTGATCGCTGTTCCAAGATACCGAGAGGAATAACGTCACCGCCTGTTGACAGGTAAGGTGAAGAATCAGTGGGCGGGTTTTTGGAACTTTGCGAAGCAAGGATTATCGCGATGTTTTTCAATTAAGTATAATTCGGCCAAAGATGCGTCCAGCCTAATTATTGCATGGTATAATGGTGTGAGACGTAGTAATTTCATGTACCCATAGTAGCATGAGGTTTGAATTCCTAGGAGTGGCGAAATAAGGATTCTTCTACGACTCCGGGGGGGGGGAGTGGGTGCTTTTGAAAAAGGTGGAATTGTATGGGTCAGATTATTTTTGTTACGGTCTTTCATCTGGTGCAAATGTCATGTCATATTTGGCAAACTTCCCACAGAATGCTTGACATTTTAGTGGACGTAATTCGAACTGGTCGTAAATAATTTATATAGCTCCACAGAGACTGTCCAGTGGGCCAGGAATTCATGAGTCCCCACCTAAAACTGCTGATCAAAGTGTGTTTGTAGTTATCTAATTGCAGCCAGATACCCCCATTACACCCTAAAATACCAAAATAGCCGCATTGTTGGATAAATTCATTGCATAATGAAAGAAAATACGAAGCAAATATGTACAGGATGCAACACCCTAAAAATTCTCGGGTCAGATTGACCCAGAATTGAGTCCCATTCGGCATGACCCTTTTCCGGGTCAAATTATGACCCAGAAAGGGTCAAATATGATCCGAAAATGGGGTCATAGTTTGACCAAGAAAAGGGTTACGCTGATTGGGACCCCATTCTGGGTCAATCTCACCCGGGATTTTTTCAAGCGTATAACTCATTAATTTGAAAGATCTATTACCCTGTAAAAATTACAATGATTGTTTAGCAGTGAAGTAAAATTTAATATAAATCTTGATAGGGCCTAATTGCATTGACAGCATAGGACATAAATTAAGTATGTCTTTATAATATCCACTGACTTCTTTATGGAGGCCAAAATAACCAGCGGTGTTTTTAAATTCGTGAATGGTTGAACTCCTTAGTAAATCCCTTTGTGGTATGTGGGGGAGTGTTTTCTGTGTGTAATCCCGAGTGTGCAGTTCCGATCCGATGCTTTATCGTATTCGATGAAAATAAACTGCTCAAATCGCAGCATCCTACGCTGTTTGGCGCAAAAGCTTATACCTTTTTTGTTACTTGTGGTTTAGCGTTTTGTGTTGTTGTCCCTGTCTTTATAAATTTGTTTGTAAAACTGGTCCTCGATCTATTAACGCTCGTGTGATCTTTGTTACCACCCAGTTCGATGTCTTTTCGTTTTGCTACGCGGAAAGTTTTTGCTGGGATTGAAACATCCACACAAACCTGCTTTAAAGATTTGTTCTGAAAAATCTGAATGATTAAGAAAGAAGTAGGCCTACTGATCTCTACCAAGACCCAAAATCAACTTTCGGGAGGAAGGGGGGCAATTTTTTTTTTTTTTGGGGGGGAGAATTTTGAATTTTCTCCTTTTAACCTTTTACAGCTTTTCTGAGAGGCTGTATTTGCAAGTTTTGGAAGGAAGAGAAATCCATGAAACAGACCCAAGTAAAATAGGCCTTTTTGCTTTATTTAAAACGGTTGGCCCTCTTTTTTAGAGGGAAGGGGAGAGAAATTGCCCCAATTTATCACTCCTTAGATCCGTCCTTGATCTCTACACGATGCATTTATTACTGAGGTTCAACTACCCAATCGTGACGAACAGTTAATTGTTGGAGGAAAAGGTCTGTCATAATGCGGTAATCCGCTGAAATACCGCACGTGTTGCCTGCGGTTAATGCACACGCGAACCAAAATGGACCTGCTATGGGTACAAGTTTAGACAACTGTCTACCGACACTCATAATAAAACGCTTCAAATTGCCTTCCCTTTTGAAATGTCGCACCAGCAACTGCAAAATGTCCCTGTTCGATCTCCATTCTTAACCGAAAAGTGAAGTCTTATACGTTACATTCAATTCACAAAACATTCATTAAAACTCGCCAACAGGGTTAGCCTACTTCTTTTCACGATGTTTGCACTTGTTAAGAAGCAAACCTACGGCAACAAAAATTAATCGATGAGTACCCTTTGTATTTATAGAAATGACTGGCATGTACGACCTTTGGTCCATTTCAACATATTTCAATGGAACAAAATTATTTTCAGGACTGAGAAAACAGTAGGATTACACATGTTTAGCTCTAAAGTTTTTCTGGATGTTATTTTATTTTGTCCAGTGGGTATTTCGAAAGTCTTAATCTAGTTCAGCGTTGGGTCATTGGCCGTCTGTCACTTCGCGGTTTGGACCCGTCCATTTACAATAGGGAGTTCGCATATAAAAGCCATGCCAAACTATTCAATTTAATAATATTCTTTAATTTTTCTATATCATTCTATAATTGCAACTACTTAGAAAAATATTTTAAATTGAAAATTATAAATTATCCTGAGAAATATTTTCTTAAAGAGGGGTAAGAATGTCCCCTTCGCATTCTGTTTTGAGCGTTCTACCCTATGAGTGGTGACATCATCTACGCAGCGTGTGTGCTGAAAGGTCTCCACTCTCCAGAGATCGTTTTCTGGGAAGTCAACGTAAATTTGAGAACAATGTGCGCGGAGGGGTATCACCTGCAGTAAGGTTCTTGTGTGGAATTGTGTCACGGAAAGACGCTGGGGAATTTGAGCCCAATCGAGGGAAACTGAACAGTTTATGAGTGTAAAAGTTTTGTCCACGTAGTTTTCTGAAGGGCTTGCAACTACGACTTTGATAGACCTACTGTGTCTCAGTGTAGGAACTGACGATGTGAAGGATAGGCCGCCAGGCCGATGGACTCTTCTTGTGGCCTCACTACGTGAGTATTGGTGAGAGCTTGCCGAGTCATCACCTTCTGCAAAAATACAGGTTTTTCCTCGTCGTCATGATTTGAACCTCAACAGTCTTTAGTTCAGTACTTTCACATATCAAATTGGACATAAAGAACTGAGACAAGTGGCACACGGAAAGGTTGGTAGAACCTTGATAATGACTAGGAGCTGGGAGGAGTTGATGGAAGTTATTGTTTGTTTGTAGGCCTAGGCCTACTTAAAAATTGTAGACGGTGCCATGGATTGGAGGAAGGAAGACATCCTTAATCCATACTAGGACCATGTGTACACGTACAAACTGGGAAAGGGATTGTGATTACCGGAAGGTTACGGGGAGCCTGGCTGTTTGAGATTTATTGTTGAATTTGAAATATTGCCAAGGCCCAAAGGCTTGGTTTCGAATTTCGAAAGTTCGAGTAGGCCTGGGCCTGTTGTTTCTCTGATGTTCTGACATTCCTGGCTAGCACTAGTGTGGTCCTTGGAGGAAGGTAAAACGAAATCGTGGCTTCATGGGCTTGTCACTTGTTAAAATCTAACATACGTGACCGTATAGTCGCCAGGTCGCTAATTTGGCTATCCATTCAATTGTCAAGTCTAATTGGTTTTTACAGTAAGTGGCAGAATAAGGGACCTGATGACTATTAATATTATGGTCATGAATTTTTTTATTTATCAGCAGTTTGGTAGCCTAATCGGATACCCCCAGAACAGGGGGGTTTGTTTTTGCCATGCTTAAGGACAACAAAACCCACGGTTTTGGTGTACAAAATTGGATTGCATTTATGAGAACGAGTCAGATAATTACTGTACATGACATAATAAAAAGCACCTAAATATCTCGACAGTTGGAAGGTTTCGGTTTGTGTGTGAGTTGTTCTTGAATGACCTTCATTTTTAGCAGATATTGTCAAAATACTGAACTGACTCGAGTGTTTAAAGTGGTGGACTTTGTTTTAAAGTGGGCGGCGAAGATGTTCATCTGTCATATCTGGTGAGATTGCTACTTGTACATTTACATGTAAATTGTCCATGATGGTATGGGCTGTGAGATAAACTAAGGGGGAATTTTTTCTAGCAATGGAGGCTCCTCTAGTTGTAACTGCGTGTTGCTAATTCATGAATGACTGTGAAATGCGAGCATTGCAGTCGCATCACTTCCAACAAAATGAGCCCTCCTGTCCAATATATGCTTTTTCAACCAATGAATTGATGGGGTGCTCCTGCACAGAGCAGATAGTCGCCAGGTCCCTTTTTTCACCATCTACTGTGCAGAACAATCTGACTTGCATGCAAAGTTAGGGACCTGGCGACAATATGGTCTCGGACATTAGTGGCAATGTTTTTTAGGATGGGTCAAGATGAGATATGTGTGAAAATTCCCTAAATAAATGTGGAAAATGTCACCACTTATTTCAAGTTATTTGTCCAACATTAAGGGCAGCATTACCATTTGTAGTGAGGGTTAGAGTGCTTTTGATATAGCTATATCCTTGACTGTGAAGTACCCATAAGTGGCCGATTCTGTTACATCACTTAAAATATCCATTAAGGTCACCAGTACTTCGTGGGTTTGGACTTTCCGTACATCGTTTGGAAGAACATGTACATGGATTGATCCAGACATTGCAGCATTGCTGTTCGTATCAAGAATGTTAGTGCAGCAAATGCATTAGAAATGCATTAGAACCAAGCTTAATAAATGGAAACTGCGAACCACTACACTTTGCAACCATCAAGATCCTGCAGTAAATCTGAAAGGTTCCTTGTATACTTTATGTTGGCACAGGCCTGTTTTTTGACCAATCACCTTTTTATATATCAGGCTTTTAAGAGCAGTACCTGTGACTTATAAACATAGAATGCATTGCAGCACATGTACATGTATATTGTATGTCAACCCAGGAAGTTTCATCGTCAACCAGTGGTCTTACATATATAGCTCAAAGGAAAGTCTTTTTAATAAAGAGAAAATGTTCTCTGGGCGTGTTCCCATGTGGATGTAAAGAGAATTCAGACAGCCTTGCTTAACAGTCCCTGATGATATGCAATCATATGGAAATACTTTGCTGCTTGTGCAAACATGGATGCAGACAGTGGGCAAAATTGGATTGTGTTCAACATTGCTGACTCTCTTTGTGTGGCACAATGTTTATCTTGCTGTACATACATTGGACATGTACATTGGACATGTACATGTATTCATTTGGCTCATTATGAGCTTACCATAAATGAATTGTATACATTTGTACTGGTCTGGTACATGTACATTGTTGAAGTACTGGTAACAGTGAAGGTTAAAGAATGTGACATGTACATGTATTTAATCACCCAAGAGGCTTTTCTTATGTGTTTTCAGCGTTTCGTATGTTTGTCGAAATGATGTCACATATCGTCTCTTCTGCGAAGATCTGCGTCTTGACAGCTACATGCAGAATCCTGTCGTTGATTGTTATGACCATAGATTTACACACACACTGCCCATAGCCTCATCATATCTGGAGCCCTGCATAACAATGTACAGTATGTCTGAATATAATGTGGCAATGCTGTCTGTAACACATCTTAGGAATGGCTATTTAGCTATTACGGAGAGGCTTAGCATTCATTATTGCCTGCCTGTAAGTCTCAGCCAAGTACCTTGGACAGGGCCTTCAAAACAAATGGCATGGTTCAGTGGTCAGTAGTCACATGCCTTTTGATGCCCTATGTAGAAAATTAATTGCACTGTGAGAGTTAATAGATGTTTGTGGAGAAAACAGCCAATTAAAATTTTCCCACAAGTTGCCTGAAGAAATGGCACAGCACCGGTCATTAATATACCGATACTTGCTAAAAGCTAAGTTTAGGTTTGACTACTGGATCCTACATGTATGCTCTCCACCACAATTCCATAAATACCGGATCTTGGCAGTATATACCAGCATGCCTTCATTACTTCACATGTATTTCTGTAATTCTGCATCTTTAGTGTTAGCTTCCTTGAAGTACATGTAGTCTAATAAATCATAAGGGAGGTTTATGAACCGGTACTTGTAACACATTGCGTAGGGGTAGCCTTTTGACGTCAGTCTATCTCGTCCAAGTAACGCTGATGGCAAGAGATCTTGAAGTAGAGGCAGATGTGGCATAAATGTGCATAAAATCAATACTAGGAATCCTCCTAGTGTCTTGCCTCCCAAGCATTTGTGCCATATGGGTAAGTTTGGTGTGTATATTTTTTTTTTGTTGATTAAGGTGATTTTTTTAACCTCCTTTCCGGAAAACTCATGAAATTTGTTTCTAGAGGAAAGTCTTAAAACGTTTGTTGAAATTCATGTACCGGTACATGTAGACTAATGTGTCTTTTCATGTTCTAATTTGTTATGAATTCTGCATACTTTTTTTATAAATGTCAATCAAACTTTACCTGCAAAGTGATTGTGCAAAAAATACACTGAATCTATTAATCAATTACATTTATCCATAAAAAGGAATGATTGTTTGGAAATAACTACTCTCTAAATTCCAAAGAGTGAAAATTCACTCTATTTGAGTGAAAATTCGATTGAAATTAAGGACCAGATGAATTGGAGTTTAAATTTTTTCACTCCAAAAGGTTGAAATATCACTAGAGTTTCTACTGGAGGGAGCTAGTTTCAGCCTTTTTTTCAGTCTGAATTCAGAGTGATTTTCACCCTAAAATGCCTTGTCCCTAATTTCACTCTTTCCGATTTAGAGAGTAGGCCTATTAACTCTAATTGGGTCTAAACTAAACCTAAGCACTAAATTACATTCAGTGTGTCATTACTTTGTTTGGGGTAAAATACAGGTTCATATGTGCACCTTTACATAAAAATTGCCCATGTGCTTTGTAAAGTTCCACATACATGTACACGTATACATATTCTGGTACACGTACACGTACCTGTAGGAGATGCATTTGTTCACTGTGGTTTTTCATTTCAGTTTGAGCATAGGAAATTCCCACTTACAGGACAGTGTAAAATCTCCCAAAATGACGCATACCGGTAGCAGTTGGAAACAGGTAAATTTAAATGATTCCTGAAATTTATTATCCAGGATTTTGGGTGTGTCAATCCAATCTTTGGTATCGATAAGTTTTATTTTCTATACATGTACTGTACGGTACATACATGTACATATAGTAATGTAATTGTAAAGTATATCGCTAAGTTGTGATTAACGTAGTTGGTAAGTCTACATGTTTATTGTTATTACTGCTGGTGAGAAAACCAGCATCCGTTGTGAACACAACTACTTCTCATGTGGGTGAAAGAACTTTTTCATCTGGAGAAACGGCGCTATGTCATAGAAATTGGTTATTTGTTTGCTGCATCTCTTTAGTCACATGAAACACTGTGTAGTTTGTCACCTCAAAGGAACAGCTGGGGCTGGCTAATCTTGCTCTGATTTTAACTTCAGTGGAAGTTTTATTGTAGCCCCTAAGGAATGAATATTAAATATTTATAAGGTGTATGATCAAACTATTTGTTGTGTATTTTGGACATCATTTTTATGTATCATTCATTTCATTTTACTGGGATAAATGTACATGTACGTAATACTTTAATAGGATGAATTTTGGTGATGGAAAATGTATTTTCTGTCCAACATGCATGTACTGGTTTGACTTTTGCTTGCCTTGTATTCATTATCTATATAATTGACCAATCCTGTTTATGGCCTTGGACATCAGCACACCTGTTCCTGCTTAACATCTTGAAGACTGTTCATGGTAATCTACGTGTACATGTACTGTACATACATGTACATGTACATGTCCATGTGTGGTAAGTCAGTCAGAAAGCTGTGTGTGGTCTGTTGAACATTCACTGTATACCACACTTCTTTCAGTGGTGTTTCCAAGCATGATCTGTATGTGAAGGATTATCAAGGACAACATGTTTTCTTTCTCTCAGAAAACGGAAACATTTACCTTACGATTGTACTTTCAGTTTCAATGAAGTAGCTGATTATTTTCAAAAGCATTCTGATAATTGGGTTTGATGAGAGTCCTTTACATGTACAGTGTTTGTTTCAGTTTCCTTACCAAATTTGACATGTGTTACCATAGTACCTGACACTTCAAAGAATTGTTAAAAATTTTTGTTGTCCTTTAAATTCAAAAATCTCATTAGATTTAATTTTAAAATGTTAATTTGTAATGGTTGATTGTACTTTCTATGAAAGGGCTAAGAGTGTAGAAAAGTATGATAAGCTTTAATACCAGGTAGGTGATTTTTATTTCATTCTCTAGCAGTGCCTGAAATTACGCCAAAAGTGGTCGCACAGCACACTCTGGTTTGTTTTGCCATTTTTTATGTAACTTACATGCTCAAGTACACACATACACCTGAAATGCCATAGTGCAAATAGCTGGATAAAAACACAGATCTGATTTCATTTGTGGCACAATTATCTGCACATTTCCCTCACAAGTTTTGTCTGACCACATCTGCTCTTGATTGGACTTACACCAAACATGGTTTGAAAATTTCTGACCAGTTTCATGCTCTGATCTAGCACTCTCCAACATGTAGTCTGTAATTGTGGCATAATTTACACGTACAGTGTGTAACAGAATGGTCCTTTGTACGGCATTATGTGTAGAATACATACTTTTGAAAAATAAGGCATTTTCTTTCCACAGTAGCTTAAAGAAGGGAAGTTTACATAAGTGAATATTCCACTTTCAAAAGGTTCTGTTGGGATGTGGATATTGTACGGTAGACAAAGGGTTTTGATTGGAATGTTTGTTTAATAATGCCTGAGGCTGAATGGAAAAAAAAGTGGCCCTGGAACATGAATTTTCACTCTGCTCGGAAAATCAAATGAATCCTTTTACAGCTCTGAAAATTAATGTGTCCTTTTGTTGTACATGTTTAAAAAATTGTGTTTAATTAACAGAGAGCTAAAGAGATCAGTGCACATGTACATGTGTTGTTACTTAAGGATGCTTTAGCCATTCAGTATAATGTAGCAACTGGCAAGAAACTCAGTCTTTTCAGGTTTTGGAAAAAATTTGTTTTTAAAGTATAGGAAGTTGGTATTCATCCTCTAAGAAATGTTTTTAATTGATTTGAGATTTTGTCAGATGTGAAGGTATGTATGTGTGCATGTTCAAGCATGGAGGAATGTGTTCTG